CCATTTCCGGTCTTTTCCGAAAAATCTCTCATCATGGCGGAGCAGGTATAAGCATTGAAAAATTTGGATGCAATTATTACTACAAATACTGATTGTTTCGAAAAATTGATTAAGTTCCATGACTTTTCAATACCTTTTGATTTGATAAATTGCTCCTTTGAATACACTGTATCGTATGGTCTTTAAAACCAGATTGTCATATATTTTCGCGACAAGTAATAATGGATTTAATATTGGAAGTGGCTAGCCGTACAAGCCCGTACTGCTAGCCAAAAGTTCTAGCCGTACGTGAGTCACGTACGACTAGCCAGGACACACTGTACTGGCTAGCAGTACGGCGCTTTTCAAAAGTATATGGAAGGCGAAATTAAGTGCATATGTTGATAATGACTTTAAGCGAGGATTTTAGTCAAGAATGGTTGCTTTTTAGAGATTAATCGGCTACAGTAAAGAATTTACTTTGTCATCTCAAGACGTCGAGAAAAAATGGCGTTTGGTTGCAGTTAAATAACATCACTTGAAATAGTTTACAAAATTTTGATAATAATCCTTTTTTGTTTAATTAAGTTTAATTTTTAAATTGAAAAAAAACAACCCCAAAAAACACCGAAAATAATTGTTGTTGGGCTCTGATAATTGCGCCAATCAAGCATGAAAATTAAGGACGTTATAACATTTGTTTGAAAATTAAATGAATGACAGAATTCATGATTAAGGCACAGGTGCTAGTTGCATTGATTTGACCTAAAATGTGTTTGACCTTGTTATTTATACAATAAAATATCAATATATTAAAAAAAAAAAAAAAAAAATTTTTTTTTCTTTGTTATATTATTATAGACAAGGTATGCAACATTCAGGTACGAAAATTATGGGTACGCCAGTTATCCGTGTTAAAATTTTTCACCGGGCGGTAATATCGTCGGATTTTGCATGGAATCAATGCACAATATATTTTTCTATTACAATTTACTATTTTACAGATCCCCAGTTAACCGCTAGTTAATGTTATTAAAGCCCGAAAGTAAGAAATCACCAGGTCCGAAAGATGAGACCGTCATGACATGTACATTGTAACCTGGTATTTACGCTTGAAATACATCAACAAAGAGATCAACGGGTCGAACTCACATGCAAACAACTGGATTTTACATATTTTAAATGGTTTTATCCTCCACGAGTGGCACTAAGTCCTATGTGCCCGTATTTTAAGAAAAATTCTACATGTATAAGAAATTCCTAAATCGGAAGTGTTCTCCCGCAACATGTGCTTGGTTCCCTGTTCCGCTCTTTGTCATTGTATGTGAAACGGAAGCCGGAGAATACTTCCGGTAGGAATTACCTTCTAAAAATATCGTCTACATGTAGGATATTTCTTTAAATACAGGCTCATAGGACTACGTTCGACTCGTGGAGCATAAAACCATTTAAAAGTATGTAAAATCCAGTTGTTTGCATGTGAGTTCTACCCGTTTGATCTCTTTGTTGATGTATTTCAAGCGTAAATACCAGGTTACAATGTACATGTCACGACGGTCTCATCTTTCGGACCTGGGTGATTTCTTACTTTCGGGCTTTATAACATTAACTAGCGGTTAATTGGGGATCTGTAAATAGTAAATTGTAATAGAAAAATATATTGTGTATTGATTCCATGCAAAAATCCGACGATATTACAGCCCGGTGAAAAATTTTAACACGGATAACCGGCGTACCCATAATTTTCATACCTGAATGTTGCATACCTTGTCTATAATAATATAACAGTGAAAAAAAAATTTTTTTAATTTTTTTTTTTTAATATATTGATATTTTATTGTATAAATAACAAGGTCAAACACATTTTAGGTCAAATCAATGCAACTAGCACCTGTGGATTAAGGGGAGTGTTGTGTATGTTCAACAAATAAGCATATAACCCCTTAACATGTTAGCTACATATTAAGAATCTGTCTTGCAAATTCCATGTCCAACTCTAATCCTTAAGTGACAGAATCCATGTCAATGTGGCATAAGCACTAACTCGGCCCCCAAGTCATCTTGGCCTTACACCTAATTTGCCCATGATTAAATACTTCTGGTATTGATAACTTTTTTAACTGTTTATATATTTTCATTGTTTAGCATTTTCCTGATTACACTTCTATCAATTTCATTAGAAGGTTGGCCTACATCTGATGTTTGTAGAAAATATTGTTCAAACAGCATTAGGTGTTTACTATAGTTACATTTTATGTTACAAAATTCAGTCTTAACATATTCTTTTATGGCCGATCAATCATAAAAACATCTTTTCGGACATGTCTTTTAATCAAAGATAATTTCCAACAACACTGCCAACTTTTTGAATTTCTATTTGTTAGTCGTCGTAACTTTTAATAATTTAAAAAATTAAGAAAATTGATTAACTAAATCTTTATTAACAATTTTTTATTATACAGTGGATTTGACCAGTGCCAAGTTGGTATAACCCTGAGTTGACCTCAATGATTCATATAAACTTATCACTGTGGTTCATTTCATTGGATGAATTATATATTTCAGACCGAGAGATCGTTTCAAAAACAGGATGCAGTCTTCATGAACAAGAAGTCTGCTTTACTGTCTGCAAAGGGCAAGAAAAATCTTCGTTATTCGAAAAGTGTTGGTCTAGGATTCAAGACGCCAAGAGAAGTAAAAAAAATTGAACTATTATTTTCTGGTTTTAAACAATTTTAGATTTTGCTATATACAGTACAGCTCAAGCAATTTTTCCACTTTCCACTCAGTCACCGCGGACACGTTTAACGGCGAGCGGGAAATCGCGGGGGAAATACTATAGTAGCCACAGTGACAAATCACCGCGGACGGGTAGTAAAAAAACCCCGCAATCCGCGGTGGAAAATCACAGAGATTTGCCGTGATTAATTCGCATATATATATGTAAACGTTCCCGTAAATGTACAACGTAGTCTTCTAAAAAAAAATCAATAACACTTAATTGTTGATTTTAATTAATAAAATTATTGAATAAGCTCTGCGAAATTAATGTACATTTACCAAAATCACAAAAAAAATTAGTGAAAAAGGTTTCAAGAAAACGGAAAAACGAAATATTAACGAAATCGGTCAACATTTTCGAGAAAATTAAACAAAGCTTTTAAAATATTTTTTTAACAATTTGAATAAGAAAAGTTCTATATTAATTCAATGTTGTTTGCACGTCAATTTAGATCGGCTACTGCTTTGATGTTGTCTGTGTAAAAAGTTGAAAGGATAGCTAAATCAACCGTTTTTTTTTTCATTTAGAAATTCTATTCATACTGGAAACAATAAACGCCACTTATTATATAATATACATGTACATTTAATTGCCGACCAATCTTTATGTGTTAAGTCCAATCAAGGAACTAATTTATTTATTCTTTGCTCAAGACCGCTTAATTAAGCAATTTACACCTACAAAAATCAAGCAATTAGCACATGCACGTAATTGATGCTACAAACTGCAATAGTGCAGCCGTGGAAAGACTATTTCATGTATATATAATAGTTGAACAGACCTTTCCCGACACATTCTTATGTAAACTTTGAAAGATGTCAGTACGAAAACTGCTCAAAAACCACAATTTCTTTGTCGTTAAATACGACTGTGATGGGAAAATGCAACTAAGAAGTCGAGGATTTATTCTCCATGATGGTGAGGTGAGTGTCGTAGAAATAAATTACTTATTATAGAACTACAGTAGTCCACGGCATGCACTATTCAAAAAATTAGGTCTGTGATCTTATGATGAGAGAAAAATATTTGTTACATTTTCCTTTCAGATCCTTACCGTAAATGCGACATAAAATATTTAAAAATAGAGAAATGTTTACTTCATAAGTAAATTTTTGTATATTATATGCTACGACCAACTTTAACTTAAGTTCTTGTCCATATTTGGAGGGATGGTAATTAAGACACGTAAAATTTACCAGAAAAAATCGTTTAAATGGATCAATGAAATAATTATAAATTCTTTGTAGCACTGTAAAATCAAAAATCTTAAAATGTCGTAATGCAGTCGAAATTAATTATGTTAATCGTAAGTTGTATTAGCGTTTTAATTTGGATGTTGGAAAATTTGACCTTCTTTATCATGCTGATTATATGGTACTGCGCTTCATTTATTTATTTTTACAATCGGTTCCTTTTTTCATCATCTTTTTTTATTTGTTTAAATCGCAAGTGGTCTACGTGCATAAGTTAACATTATTTGTGGGATGTAGACTTATTTAGAAATTTTCCAGTCCTTTGCCTCATCAGCTCATGTTTGAAAAACTTTTACGTGGGAAGTTGAACTCAGTACGTACATGTAACAAACAAATACCTTGCATTGTTTGCACTATATAAATTAAGTTCGCCGAAACCACTACCTGTTTTATTATATAAGATCAGTTCGCCGAACGGGTAGTTCGACGAAACCACTCTCACCCAAGAAAAATCTATTTTATTTACATGATACCTCAAGTCGGCAATTGTAGAAAAGTATAACTATGTATATTGGATGAAACTTTGCCCTAATATTTACTTGTAGCAACACCTTTCATTACACCTATATAGCTGTGTATTGATTATCATAATTTGTAACATGTGGTACATTTCCGGACAACATGCAGAGCAATTAGTGGTTTTATGGGAGTTAAATAATGTGTATTGAAAGAAAAGCACATAAAGATCTTCTGTCGACTTTATTGATGAAAAATATCATTTGTTTATTTCACAGTGTATCACAGATGATATTTAAAAAACAAACAAAATCATTAAAAAATTTAATAGAAAAAAAATTCAACATAGCTTTTATTTTTGTAGATTCAGCATAATGTACAAACATGAATTTTTATCCATCTTTTTACCCTGGTACATACGAGAGCTGTGGTGCTACACCTTCAACCGTACATATGCAAAACGTTTTAGTGGTGTTAATCCCGTCTGTTAGTAAACAAAACGTTGTACAAATGGGTTCTTTTACAGCACTAGTTAATGATTTATACACTTACTATTTTTATTCACATAAAAACTTGTACTGAAATTCGTTTTCACAATGTATATTGTATGAGTACATCTAGATCTAATGTAAAATTTCTTTTTAGGTACAAGTAGGAGAGAAATATAGTGTGAGATGGGGTGGGCCAAAAAACATAGATATGGCTCTAATACTTGCTGAAGGTTCAGAACGTGACATGCGTCAGAAGATATCCGAAAACAAGTCTAAACCTACAAGCAAGATGACCAAAAAGTCTGATTCTGAAGAGGGCTCATTGAATAAGAATCCTTCCAGCAAGAAAAGGAAAGCAGATCCTAAGGTACAGTTATGTAATTTTTCTTTTAAAGTTGAAAAGTGTTAATTTTTTCTTTCATTTCCTCGGTCATTAGCATCTGTTGAAAGTGTTGAAAGCTTTTGCCTTCTGAGGTCTCTTTAAACAGTTTCTTAGGTATGTCTCCTGTTGCTTTTCCACCAAGAAGAATACATACTGGTGCTACCTTGTAAACATGATCTATGTACCTATTACACAATTTTATTGTTAAAATATCATTCCAGAAGTAAACTATTGCATCAATCAATGCCTCTTTTGTCCGTGGCTCAGCCTTCGCAACTTCCCTCTTCATATGAGCCCACACCATTTCAATAGGATTGAGATCTGGAGACTCTGAAAATAAAATAATATAAACAGAACGTTATTATTAAGAAAACTAAATGTTTTCAATCATATTTGTATTTATGAACTTTTCAAAAGGAACGGTGTACATGTAACTTGCCGTGAACAGCACCCATATTTACAAAGTACATGTACTTTTATAATTTAATTTGCATGTATAATATCAAACTTTTCGTCAATATTAACTCTCTGAAATATATCATCAATTCAGCTAAAAAAGAGCATATATTTGAGTGTGTGTTTTTGTTTGAATTTATAATTCCTCTCTTTCATGAATGCAAGTCTGCCTTCATATCAAGTCAGAAGCAAATTAAATTATTTTCTAAAAAAATAAAATATGATGTGCCTACTATATATTTTTTCTTAATTACAGCCAACAGGTAGCAAGAATCCTGCGAAGTTGTTGAGAGTGACAACACCTAACAATTCAGACACCACCATCACCACATCAACAACATCCCCACATGAGGTAACCATCACAGAATCCGCCTCCCCTTCAACAACCTCACAACCCCCCCTTGAAGAACAGGTACAGGAAACGGTTTCGCCAGCTCCCCAACAGCCTATGAGCCCAGTTATTCGTGAGAATCAACACACCCCTGTGAGAACTCCTGTGACAACACCAGTGACAACCCAGCCAAAATCACCCAGTATTTTCAGGTACGGTAGACCAAATATTGGTACAGGGCCCATGATTTCTAGGCTTAACGCAATGGAAGAGAGTGTGCGAAAATTATCTAAACGCGCTGATGACCTACAGAAAGGACAGGAAAAGTGCTCCAGGGCTGTTTTTGAGTCTATGTCAGTTCTTAATGCCATAAAGAAGAATCAAGATGTAATCATTTCCCTTCTTACAAAACAATCTAATGTAGAGCAGCACATGCCACTTCAAGACACAACTTCTGACAGAAACATACCAGAACAGTTTGAAATCAGAGATGACACACTCCGTGAAATAAAGAGTCAGTCATTAGGCCCTGGAAATTTCGCCGCTAAGCTCACAAAAAAGTTATTTCCCGAACTGTTCTGTTCTGAAAACCTGAGAATGTTGTACAGCTGGGTAGGAGGAGGAGTGTTGAACAAGAAAGAATTGTGTGCCACCAGAAAAGAAGTAATTAAACATTATGTTGTGAAGTTTTTTCCAGAGTTTTCAGACGAAGGGGCCTTCAGGGAACGTATTGTACCAAAGATCAATGAATTACTACGACGAAAAGAAAAAGAAAGGAAGAGGCCAGACATCAGTCATCCAGATAAAGAAAATGTCAGGTCAGACCCACCAATGGATCTGTCTCTTGGAGAAATATTAACATACCTAAATTAATTGAGATTAAGTGAGCATTACAAAGGGCACACTGCCCTTAGTGTCATAGAAATGTAGACAGACATGTATTATATGAAATGTGAAATAAAATGCTTATAAATTAATGCAAATTGACATACAAATGTATGTTAACTTGTAGAGATGCAATGATTAAAGTTCGTGTTTAACATGTAAATAAATGTACATATATATTTATGACTTATTATATAAAGTGCTTACATTATATATTTATGATAGTTGCCTCTCTTGATCAGTTTTATGATGATATTTGATTACAGTAAAACCTCTGACAGAGCACCGACCACTATAAAACAACAATAACAACCTGTCCACATAAGACTTCGCAATAAATTTTACCCTTCTATGTCAATATTAGGCCCTGTGAGGGGCTTAGTCAACCACAACTCAAATAAGTTTTTGTGGTCTTTATTTAAATAAAGAAAGAAAACCAAAATATATATATTAGATTTCAAGAACAAATTATATTTGTGACTAGAAAATGAAATACATAAAGCTGCAATCCAAGCTTTTAGATAACAAAAAAGGATATTTTAACCATACATGTAAGAAATTGTGCTCTTTAACTATATTGTGAACGAGTCGTGTACGAAACAATGGGTTGGAAAATGTTGAGTACGAATGTGTGTATTTAATAATTTGATTCTAAACACATTACGACAAATCTGAGTTTCGAAACTTTGCAAACTTCTAAAAGGATACATAACAAATCATATGAAAACATTAACTTACGCTGTAGGGGCCAATCAAGACTATTAAAACAATTTTTTTTACACGTGAGGGAAGAACGTTAAGGTTAAGTACTGCTAAATCTTTACAACATAATACAGTAGGTTAAGAACGGATAAATCTTTACAACATTTGGATCAGAAAGGGTTTTGCTCTGCAGTGGTTGTTCTGTATATACATGTATAAATGTAAATTGTGTAGATATGCAGTAAATAAATAAATTATATCAGATAAAGTACACTTCTAAGTTAAAATTTAATAATTTTGGAATTATCAAAATTTAAATGAATTGTAGCCAGGCATATTCTATTTAAAGGTATTTCGACCTTTCTTTTTTTCTATTTACCTTCTACACCAGTCTCTTATCATGTGCCCGCTCGTGCGCACGATACATTTTTATCACTCGAAAATATATCCATTGATTAAAGGCCGTGATGTATGATTTACAAATGTAAGAATTGTGTTTTTTCTTTATTATGTGTTTTTTCTTTATTAATCATTCCCATTTTTAAGTGATATTGAGTTTTGTGTAATAAATATTTCAATAGAAGTTAAATGAATATCCTGTTGCTTGTCTCTATTCACCCATATTACATATGTTCCTTGATAATCTTTGGTTTGGAATAAAAGGATAAACAAATGTCGTCTATATATATAAACAGGTTTATGTCAACCCATACTTTCATAGTGATTTGATTGTTCTTTAATTTCATTTCATTGGTTCAACTCCGATATTTAATTGAACTTATTTTGAAAGCTGTGCTTTGATAAACATTAGATAAAAAAAGATAAAGCAATTTTCCCCAGTTACCTGACGGCCACACGTCCCAATGGTTAATTCCGTTCTCCCTCATGAAATCCCGGGCCATCTTTGACTTGTGTTTTGGATCGTTGTCCATTTGAAGTCTATGTCCGCTTGGAAAAACAGATCCAATGAATGGCAACGCAGCATCTCGGAGAATCATTTCTGTAAAAAATGTCTTCTCCATAATACCTTCAAAAATAACCAATTTTGATTTGCCTCTGCGGCTAATTCCACCCCATACATGAACTTTTAAAGGATGTTTAGGTTTGGGTATAGTCTCTCTAGGAGTGTCTTTACACCTGTACATCACTTGTTTATTTTGATGCAACTGCACAGAACACTCGTCCGTGAATATTATATCACAAAGTGTGTCATTTGAATTAACTAAAGTTTGGCAAAAGTGTATCCTCTTTTCTTTGTTCGTATCCCTGACAAGCTGTCCGTATCTTGGGGAAGCACTTGTGTAGCCAACTGCACTTATTATTCGCTTAGTTGTTGATAAGGATAACTCGTAGCCGTCACTTTTCAAAGTTTTGTGTACATTCGTGGCAGATTGCTGGGGATTTTCACGTAAGGTCTTTTCAACGATTTCTGCGTCTCGAACACAAACTTTCTTAAATATCCCCTTTTTTGAATTTATCACTCCTGGCACAAAATAGCCGGAAATATACTGTTTACACCAGTAATTTACTTGCTGTCTACAAATTCTATGTCCCTGGCTATTAAGATGTTTAACAATACTGAAAGTCTTAAGTCCCTGTTCTTGTAATCTTATAATTTCTAATTTCAAATTATGAGAAATTTTCCCCATTTTCCAGTAAATGAAAGTACATGTAATAAGCTCTGTGCAAGGTAAGTTTTGTGTAAGGTAGGTGGTATACCTATATATATATACATGCAAGGCCGGTGGTGTCAAACAGGAATATTGTGTATATATGTCAATATGAATACATGTACACGCACCTTGTGTATTCCATGTAAAACATGTCATACTGAAAAGGGGGAACATTTGTTGACACATACAGTATAGAAATCACAAAATAACAAAATCACAGGGTGACATTATTTTGACATGTTCTATATATATGAAAGAAATGACCTTGCACCAGTTTGAAAAAAAAGTTATCCAAAAATAAAAAAAAATTATATATATATATTGCTGTTTTGAATTAATGTGTTTATTCTACGTTATTACTTTATCGAATGACAGGTAAAACGATATAAATATACATGAACATCTATCTTGCCGGTTCATACTGACCTATAACAAAAAAATACTCAATTGTAATTTATAATTGTAAAATCTGTATCTCTGAAGAACAATTCAATATGAGAGCGTATGGCGCGTGCATGAATGCGAAATTTTATTCCGTTCACGTGCTGCATTTGTTATAAGGTTTGACAAGTTTCATACACATTGAATGTTCATCGGCCAAACAATTTTCCCGTCGTAGATATAGATCGTAAAATATATGTCATAAAGTGTATACTCTTGTGTCATATTAAATAAAAGATATAAAAGCAGTTTGATTACATTCACATTAAGTCGTCAAGTTCATATATTTTCATAATTAATTTTTTTGTATTTCATGATCAATATGTTTAATTAGGTGAATCAGGTATATATATTAATATACGTACCTGGGTGAATAAGTTGTGAAAAATATGAGTAAAATTCGCACGCAAATCATTAAATTTTGTAATTATTTGCATACGACAGGTGTCACGTCATTTAAATACATAACATAAAGATTTTCTTCTTTAAAAATGTGTTTGAGTTCGTTATATTTTACGTGCGTAGAGTAATAGTAATTAATGCCCCCCGTGTAATAAATAAATAAAGGGTCACCCGAGAGAGCGAAATGCCGCTGCAATATTTCACAGTGATCCGCGGTGACGATATCCCGCAGCGCAAATTTCACCCGATCGCGTGGACGAGCGGAAAGTCACAACTGTCGCAGGGACATCGCGGTGACAATCCACCCGTAAAAAAATCGCGGGGATCGGCGGACTTTGGAAAAATTGCTTGAGCTGTACTGTATATACCGGACAAGGCGCTTGAATGATAAAATGCTAAAATCTTGCCATTTTACCCAACGGAATGAATTTCTACTGCAAGACAGACCGATTTTATAATCTGATATTTCATAGATGTCTGTCGGACATCATCTATATAAAAAAAAGCCCTTAAGCGCACAATTTTTTGGGCTACTTAGCCACTAGACCATGGCCAGTACGGAAGTAGAATTTGGGTATGGCCTGTAAAATTGTCCAAGTAACTAGCATAATTGGCTTGTGAAATACTAGCAGTTAATCACAAATTTATGAAATGACTGAATTTCAAATTGAAACAAGTATTTTTTTCTCTCTTTTTTTCAGGAAATAGAATCACAAAATAAGTTCTATTTTACTTTCCACCTTCAAAGTAAAATATTTTAGAGCTTCACAAAAAATGAAAATTAAAATGGGCTACTGGAACCACTTAGTATTGCAAACGACATGTGATTATTGTGGTCATAAATTATGCCAAGAGATAGTTACTTACTGTTTTAAAACAGATCTTTCATATATTTTTTGAGATACAGGTTAAAGAGAGATAACTCTTACCTCCATGTTTCAATTTAGGACCGGCTTCGATGGGTATTACTAGCAGAGGAAATATCCCACTTAAACCTACTAACATTGCTCCAAATAAAGAGTACACCCATGTTTCAAATTTTGTATCGTCCATAGCTGTTTTTTCACCCTTTAAAAAATTATCCTCTTCTGAATCAAATGCCTCCGCCTCCGCCACGTAAGAATTTTCCCGAGAGTTGTGAGATTTTACGCCATATTTCGGACCATTAGATTTTGCACGATGAATTTCCGAATTAGACAGTGTCACAAATGTAAGACAAATGAATATTGAAAAGGTTAAATACCGTAGTGAAGCCATAATCAGTAAATTTATCAAGATAAAGTAAGTTCAAACTTCATTTTGCAGACGCTTGCATCTGTATCACAACATTTACGACCTTGACACTATCTGTGATGTAAAGCTATCAATCATTAAATCCGCATTAATGAATTTTACGATTCATAACTTTGAATGACATTTAAAAGACATAAGCAAATAATTTTAATGATTGAAAACATAATGATAGAATTCTGTACCATTTGTATACATCAAATTCTGCTATCTGGCAATCGTAGATTTAGTTTTGCATCATAGGTTTGTTTATGCCAGTTACGAATGTACCTACATTTTATCGTTATCGAACAAATGAATGGTAGCCAAGTTTGACTACCGTCCTTTCTACTTTTTCAGGAGAATAATGGAAACATTATCTCAATGTAATGCCAGGCATTTTGTTGTCAGGATTATTTAACAGTTGTTTAAATTGCTAGAAGTTTCACAAGTCCACAAAGATCTATAATGTCAAACGTTGCTCCGTCGATAAGATAATAATAATTAAAATCAAATATTTATGTGATGGAAAAGTGAATGTACATAATCACTACATTTTAAAAGATATATATTTGCTAAAGAGTTATTAAATAGTTCGGTATACCTATTTAAAATTGGGCTATTCATAAGTTCAATTACCACGCTCAAAAGCTATCTAGACTTCCTGTTTCGGAAAACTTCCTTATTTTTCAAAAGTTATTCAATTTTTTAACCAATGAATAATTCGAGCCCAGTCTTAGCTTTTCACAAAAAAGATCTTTACACGTTATGTATCGTTTATATATGTACTTCCTTACCAGATAGTGGTATAAAAACATATACATGTATTGTAATAGTTGCCGGTGAGTTAAAGGCCTATCATTTAAATATCATTTACTTATATCCTTTTATTCAGGACCAATAAAAGAAATTATTTGAATTATGTACAGAATGAACTATTTTAACATTTATTATTTATGAATTTATTGTTACTCTTTTACTTTTATCGTTAGTTACGTTAAGTGAAGCGACGCTATTTTATATACATGAAATATGTCTCCTAAACCCATTATTTAAAACATCATAGATAACAATGTTAATCGGTATCATTTTCATTTTCATTCGATGATTTATTTAACTCTTAATATTTACATAAAATGAAGAAAATAGGAGGTTTGGCCGCAAACTACTTCAGTTTTAACAGAAAAGAAATGCTGTAGATTTGTCATTCCTTTGAAATACACGGTTAATCTCAGTAACAAATTTTGATTATCAGTCAAAGAATTAAGTTTTTATTTATACAGTACTTAAGCCTTCATTTGTATGTTTGAAAATATGTAAGCATTTATATAATGATGCCATGTTCTAATTAAAACTAATGGGATAAAGGAAATAATAATTATATCAGTGAAGAGGCAGCATATGTAAGAAATGGAACACGAGAATTTTATCATTGCTGCAAACACAATTTCTCGACTGAAGCTTAGACGGCTTCTCTTATGGTACTTTAGATATTCTCATTTATAGTGAATAGAAATTCTTTTTAAATGTAATTAAAGATACATAACTTATTATTTAATTGTACTGCCTAAATCAATTTTTTTTCTTATAAATATATAGAATATATAACAATTATGATCTAGAACGCTGACTTCGAGAAGTGGATATAAATGCATGTTAACATCATTTTTCTATTTAATGGAATGACAGGCCTTACGAAGTCGCTTAAAGCTGCATTTTATAAATACGTAAAATAATATTGTCGTCACCCTTAAACCATGGAGCTAAATATAAGATTGTTTATATTCTATTTTATATTCTATTTTATGTTCTTAAACCAAACAGTATTGTTGTAAATCAAATCAAGTATTATAGTACTATAGTTTATGCCGGTTTTATTTTATTGTTTATTTTTATGTCCTGTTTTGTTTTGTAATGAACACTATCTTGTCTCAACTCATTGCTTTCACAATTTCGAGGTATAAGGTAAAATCTACATGTACTACTAAACTTAAAAAAATCAGACAATCCTCTAGTGTATCAAATTATACAGTTGTGAAACCATTTCCATTTCATTGACATGGTGTTAAACAAATACTATGCAGGTATACATACATGTACTGCATCCGAGTAGATTCTTACAGTAGATTGATTAAGGGAAGGCATAACACGGAGTCTATTAGAATAACCAAATTGCATTACCTCCCTTACACTGCGAATTGGTAGATAATTCAATGTACATTGAAATCTATAGCTCATTTTTACACGCATGCCAAATAATCTTAGAAAATGCTCCAAAACATCATTTTCAGTGTAATTCTATGAAAAAGAAACACAGAATATTAAACTGCTCTTCTAAAGACGACAATCGGTTGTGAAACAGTATTTGTCTGTTTGACATTTAATTTAATAGTTTCTAAAGACTGGAAAATGAATAAAACAGCGGATGTCTGTTTGTTCTATAGAAAAATACCTTAGTAACTTGGAATTTGGTGCAGAGCCAAATTGAAATCATTGTTGTTTTGTTTTCCCGAGGTTCGTATTCTACTATTTGTTTTAGTTGATAAAAATAATGTTACTACAAATCAGAAAAATGACGAAAAATCTGAATGCACATTCTTTTATTTACTTCAAACTAACCAAGTAATTTTGTCGTCTGCTTATTGCTCTTATCAATGATGCGAGCGTCTTTAACCGTCAGAGAAAGCTATAAAACCAGCCGATTAATAATATCATAGAAAGGTTAACTGTGAGGAATTTTGGCATCAATATAAGATCCTATTTTAACTATTGGAGCACAAGCTTCACTATTCACAGAGCCAAAAAAGCATGCACACCCGCGTAGTCCGGCTCAAATGGCTGCATTATTTAGCATTTTAATATAAAAGTATTTCAAGGCTGGGAAAACCTGTTATACACGTTAAACAGGTTGAAGGTTAAAGGTACAGAGTGAACAGCAAAGAATATCGGTAGAAAATCGCGTGTGCTATATTTCGAATATAACTGAGTAAATATTGAGCCAAAACTTACAGCGCACTTGATCTTTATTCTAATCAAGGCAGTAAGAAAACCGATTGGGTTTAGTTTGCTCTTTTTACAGAGATAGCTGTGTTTGAAATACTAGTATTTTGTTATTATGTATGATGCTGGAAAAAATATGTGGAGTTTGTTGTGTTTAAGACGGTGATCTATTGTTTGTTTTCGATATAATGGTTGATGCGATTTTATAATAACATGATGATAGACTGTAATAGGAAGATTTAGACTCGAGACATGATCATATTGACTTTGTCTGGAATCTAGCCTTTAAGGAGTATATGTGTTTCTGCAAGCTTAAGTGAATATTTCGCAAAAGTCTGGGAATAAGGAAATATAATCTGTCTGCAGAATAAATCACTTGATAAATCTGATTTCGGGGAATTTCTTGAAAAAATGATGGAATTTCATTCGACGATTTATGATGTGGCACAGGACGCCTCTCAAATTGCATCGGCACACAAATCCCATAGGGATAGGCTCGAACCTGTAAGTACAACGGGTAATGTCTCAGTCTCCATTTATAGTACATACATATTTAAATTTTGTTGTTTTTTTTTAATGTATATAGGAACATTAAAATTTTCTTAACTTGAAATATCATAAATTAAATAATATTTAAGTCTTAAATGAGTGGAACAAATTATATTATGCTGGCCTGTATTTAAATATACAGTAAAAACTGCACTAACGGTCACCTCCTTTTGGCGGTCACCTGACTTGAACAGTCATTTCCGGCCCCAACGAAAATCACTCTATTTTATACTTCTGTTCAACAGTCACCTGCTGTCCGCGGTCAACGGTCACCTAAAATGATTCTATGTATATATGCATCACAGATTCCATCATATAGTTCAAGTTTTAACACATGAAAGTGTGTGTTTTATTGAGAATATTATTTCGCTAACTTACCTGTAAAACAATTAGCCAGGTAGCTAGAGGTCAAATAGGTCGTAATATTTATTATTCATGAAAGAAAACTATACACAATAAAACAATTTCAAGAGAAATCCGCGCCAGAAGAATTCCAGCAAGATATCGACAAAAGTGTTATAGGCTGACCTACTTTACTGTTATAATTAACTGAAAATATTTGCTTTTGAAGATAATTTTAAAATTAAGTTAATAACCTTACGTTACGTTATAAACGTATACAAAGTTTATACTATTTCTATTGTCTGGTTATTCTAAACGGTGTCATATGTTCTTACACACTGACAATAAATTACTGATATTTTTTACTTTGAAAGCGTTGCAAAAGTTGTTTTTTTCATTTTCTAAGATTGTTACAAAAAAAAAAACAATAAATTTTGTGAATAAAATAGTCGCTTTGAAGATGAATGATTATATCTTCAGAAGGTCTGTAACAATTGTAATGGTCTGAGAGTTATATTACCTTGTCACGATCGATGTCTTACTTAAAAAAGAGTTGACTGTACGCGGTTTGCTGTGGGTTCATTTATCAACTTAACTGTACGCGGTTTGCTGTGGGTTCATTTATCAACTTAACTGTACGCAGTTTGCGTGCAAATGAGTTGACTGTAAGCGGTCTGCTGTTGGTACACAAAGGAGTTGACTATGCGGTCTGCTGTGAGTTCAAGTAATGTGTTGTCTGTACGCAGTCCGTAGCCTGGGTTCCAATCTGTCGATTTTATATGCTTCTGTTCAGCAAATTGACATTATTAAAACACTTACGTGTATGAAATAGCGCGTATGTTATGAAAAAGTAAAAATATCAATGCCTGAATCCCAAGCAGCGGTCTGCTGTAGGTACAACAAACGTGTTGACTGTATGCCTTCTTGAATAGTTGCAAATGATTCTGAAATGCTAAACAATGTCATGCATTAATATTAGAATACATGTATATGTAACGTTTTATGTAATCTTACCTCTATATCGTTTTTTATATGTTTTAGTTTTAGTTTTTGTATTATAATTAAGTATAGTATACTCGTATACTCAATTTTGCAACAACTCTGTTGTGCTCAGGGAACATTATTTTCCAGTATTTGATTACTAGAAGGTTTCTCCTGAGAAATTATCTGACAGAAACCGTCTGTTACATTTCTAGAACGAATGCAGGATTTTCTATTGATTAACAATTAAGTTTCTAAATACAGGAAAAAAGGGAATGAACGATAGTAGATACAGCACGAGACAGATTTTGTATCATGAAGAAATGGCAACGTTTTCCTTACAGTTAAACAAAGACCACGTACTTAAAACACATTTATATTGATAATTGCATGGCGTTATTATTCAATACGCTGTGAATTTACCTTTTTACACGGGTACATTATAAACGTATGATCGTTAGTAATATTATCGTGTACAAATACTGATCCTATTTAATAAGCTGGCATTTAAAAGCATTTAACAACAGAATATTAGGTCTTACCGGGAAACATGTGTTGTTTAGCTTTATTTTCACAGATGCTCCATTACCTGTAGAGCATTATTGAGCTCATTATAACTACCTTAGACAACTAGGTGCACCCAGTAATACTGATAAGCATTTCTGGCTTTTACCAAAATTTCTGACTTATACACATTTTGTTTGTTCTATATAAGATACGTTACAAGGTTATATATATATTTATACTTGATAACATTGTGCGATACCAGGTACATATATGTAGCACTAAGAGTTGCGTCATAGCAAGATCTTACCAATGCTTCTCAATTATAAAGAAAAAAAATGTATTTGGTATTTTTCCGGATCCTAGGAATAAACTTCAAACATGTTCTGATCTTGTGTCGAATAAAGTGAATACAGCAATTATTTCACACTGCTCATTTGTTTTAAATGTAAAACATTAATTTTACTTATATCCACTTAAGTCAGTTTCAGATGAATGTCATAATTAAAACAGTTAAGTTTTTGTGTAAATATGTCTCTCTTCTTAACTGCCAATGTACTATATAATGAGTTTAAAGCAAATATATTTGCCAAAACTGCAATTTAAGATAGATAATAATCATCAGAAGTTATTCTAAGAAGAAACTGCAAAGTTTTATTATAATCAACTTAAAAGATATATTGGATTCATCAATATAGTGCTATATGATTCACTCAAAAGATGTACTGGAAAGTATGGACAATTTCCCCTTCAAATTCTTTATTTTTATGATAGTATTTTAATATATAAGTTCATTAATTGGCCAAACTTTTTTTTCACATACTATTATATTCATACAGTGTTGCCCTCACTATATCACGTGACTGAGTTATCATTATAGCAATGTATTTTTTTCTATTATGCAAAATGGGATTTATATTGATCAAAATTATGAAATCTTAACTGCGACAATTACATATGTATATAGCCAAACAATATGTGTAATGTAGAGGTGGATTTCAGACCATATATGGCATCTTTTAGATACGAACTCAAAGTAGAATCGACTCAAAATCCTCCAAAAATATTCTCACAAAAACTTTAACGGTTTAATCCCCTATCTATATGTACATACAATATACATGTATATACAAGCTGTTGAATACAGTATACTTTGCTCAAGATGTAGATTAATGAGCAAATGTGAATACTCCATTATGTAATAGTGATTTTAACTTATATTATGATATTAACATATACAAAGTCTCCTATAACTCTGTAGAGAGTGACAATGTGCATTTCTAATGTGATTGAATATGTTTTTTTATTTATGATATATTGTATATATTGTATTACATAGATGCGACTATAATAAAGAATAAAATAAAAGCATGTCCGATACTTTTTCGTAAATGCAGTGGCTTTAAATATTAATTTTCAGTATGTTTCAGATCTGGCATAAATATCTGCCGCATTAAAAGCTTTTGTATAATTTTGTAATTATATTCAAGCCCATCTTTGTTACTTACACTCTAGAATATACATCTATTGAATTTCTGAACATATTAATTTTTAACTCAATGATAGGTGTAAGTTAAAGTTTAGGTTGATGTTGCATTTTCCCCTTCTCAATCTGTAAAACGTTTAAAACATTAGTTGCTTTGGGAATCACGGATTATCCTCAATGCATTATCTATAAATCATTTCCATAGCAACGGGTTTTATGTTTTCCGCTATTGAAGTAAAATGTGATTCTAAGAAACGTGTGTTTGCTTTCAATATTATTGAACATGATTGTTACTCTATGGTAAAATATATTTCTATAGGTTCTTTCAACACCATTATACTATCTTTGATGATAAAGATTCTGCATTGTTGTATGAAAGAGCTTAAACATCTTTAAGTGTGCGTTCATATGAAACAGATTGTTTTTGTTCTTACAAAGACGACTGTTTAATATAATTATAGAAATGCTTTTCTTCATATTTTTTACCATATGAAACATACAATATACCGTATCGTTAAAAGACAGTTTGAAAGGCTTTAAAGATTTCTATTGGCAACATATATATTCCGCCTTAAAATTACATCCTTGTATGCACGAATGAATACTTTAAGTACTTCGTAACACGAATTTTCATGCCATTAATCGGTCAGACCAATTACATACGTTCAAGTCATTGATTTACTTATGATACCATAGACAATTTTTTATTTCTTATATTCAGTTATAAAACATAATTACGTGTTTGTATAACAATTATGTAAATGAAAATTTAATAGTCTTTTTTACATGCATCATTGAAAAAAACCACCAAAACATTTGAAAAAGGTAACTATCTAATCACCAAACGTACCATAACTTATTTGATATTTTATATCACCATCGGAGATACCTATATCATGTATAATTCATATCTAAAATTAGTTTCTATGTTAATAATTGTCTTCAAATTTAGCTGTTATCGCCACCAGAATTATCATGTTTTTATCCAACGATATTTAATGTATACACAAATAGAAAAAGCTCAAAGCATTACATTAAGAATTAGTCCTCTGCTAGAACAAGTCGTCTGCTAGAACTAGTCCTCTGCTAGAACTAGTCGTCTGCTAGAACTAGTCGTCTGCTAGAACTAGTCCTCTGGTAGAACTAGTCGTCTGCTAGAACTAGTCCTCTGCTAGAACTAGTCGTCTGCTAGAACTAGTCGTCTGCTAGAACTAGTCGTCTGCTAGCCACACGGTGATTATTAAGCCAGACATTCTGACTATTTTAGGTAGATCAGAAAATAATGACATGCCACGAAAGCGTCATATCATTTAGATCAAAGCCTCCGCGGATCATGCTTTCACATGTGAACGATAAAAGACATTAAATTTAATTCTAATATATAATGATATATCAAAATAGAGCGTTGTATATTGTGCTAATTTATTTTAAGCACACTGTAACTTTTATATTTTCAGACTTGTACCATAGACAACGTACCGGACAAATGTCTGTTGCACATCTTTTCGTTCCTCCATCAGAGAGAGCTGGGAATACTAGCGCGTGTTTGCAAAAAGTGGCGCCTCCTTGCGTACAACCATCAGCTATGGAAGGTTGTATCACTCCGACCCGAATACAATGGACTCTACGTGAACAGTTTTGAGAATTTAATGGCGCTAATTAACGTCCGTTTCGGTCCAACTTTGAGATACATCGAGCTACCATGTGAACTTGTTACTCCACCTATCTTACACGAACTGTCAAACAAGTGCCCCTCTCTGAAATATATGACAATAGATTTCTCAAATGCTATGCAACTTCATGACTTTAATGATCTAAATTCTTTCCCATGCAATCTCCGTAGTCTGTGTATATGTCTGTCCGAGGTTATCTTCTTAGAGGGCTTTATGAGGCGGATCTATAGCTGCCTGTCTTCTCTACAAGTCCTTCATTTAATCGGTAAGTAGACAATAATATCATATATCTTTACCAAAGTCAGAAATTATTTTTCTAGTAATTTTGTACTTTCGTCTGCTTAAGATCATTACTTCAATAGACTGTCTTTAAAATTAAATAATTTCCGTAAATCGATAGACATGCTTGTAACCTATAAAAAGTATATGCAAATTATTATAAAATAGAATTTACTTATTACATGTACTTTGATTTGTTAACTGTTTTAAATCAGAGAATTAACGATATTGTTATATCATCATGAAATGGCATATGACCATGGTTGATGCATCAAATTAAAGCAAATGTTGAAACGGAAGGTTAACATTATTCCTATGTAATAAATACATTTTGAAGTTTAGCACAAAAAGACAACTTTTTGATAAACCGTTTCAACATTAAACAGCCACACATTCTTTGTTGCACCGTATACAGCATACGGCGTATATAGCTTAAGGTAGCTCGCTACTTTCCGACCGAAATTTGACAACATCTCAGATCTTGATGATTTTTTGTATGCAAACATATAGATATGTGAGCTTTACTTCTGCAGTATTATTTTATAAATAAACAGCGTTACTATGACGTCAAAGCGCCCTCTATCGGTGGCGGCGAAATTGCGTCTTTTTCTCAGTAAACCAATCTGTTCTTATCAATTTTCATCCGATTTCCTTCGTTTTAATTTTATAGTGTTCAGTAAATGTATGTCTTTGTAATGATATCTTTCTTTAACATTTGCTTAATAGTCTGCGATTCTACGTCATTTTTCTCTACATTCTGACGTCCATATCTGATGCAAATACCGCGCGATATCGCAATAAAGATTGTGTAATAAAAAAAATTCAACACGGTGAACTTTGCTATAATTTTTCGAGCGTGTAGCGAGAAAGTGAAGGAAAATATTTATGCAATAAAAATATAGGGTCAACGCGTAAGATATTTTGCTATTACTGTTTTAAAATAAAATAAAGGGAATGTAACGTAATGGTTTTGGTGGCGTTAATAGACGTTGGAGTTCAAAGAATAATACCAAATAACAATTTTCTTACGTCAAACATTACGATTGTAAGTATAAACAACACAGGAACTTGATGAAATGTATATTTTGTAAATTGTTGATTATTTTCTCATTGAAAGCATGCGCTAGATCAGCAAATTTACAATGTTTAATCGTAAATACGTTTCTAATTTGCAGGACGCAGTCTCAAACATCTTTTAATTTTTATTTTATATTTTGATGTTTGTAATGAAAGAGTGAAAAGTGTTATATTATTATATGAATTAACTAGTTTCAGCGCAAAAAAATAAGATTCACATATTGCTGTATGAATGAAGTAAGAATATTAGGTCGCTTAGCTTATACCCGTTAGAATATTTATTTTAAGTTACAATCGTAAAAATACAATTAAAATAGATATGCATACAAATGTGCAATAAGTGATAAATTAAATTCAGAAATAATATTCAAATCTGTTAAGAATATTTAAAAACAAACTGTACAAGAAACAAAAACATTTATTTTTGCTTACCATTTTTAAGTATGTGCAATACATAGATTATATAATTATAATCTAATTAAAATGTCATAATTAGAAAATGACAAACTTTAAAACTTTTTGGAACTCGGATTTACGTATACCTACTTACCGCTTTTTCATTACAGTATAACAAAGCGACCTTCAAAATATTATTTATTTCTATAGGGCTCCACTACATTTTACCTCTGTAGAGCAACCACTCTAGGCAACAAAGGGCATTTCTCTGTAGATGTTATCCTGTTTATTTTAATTATTAAAATTGTTTACTGAGTATGAAATGTTTCAAGGTCCACCTCGGACTCCTGTCATTTATTTCCGTAGAGAACTTGATACTGTGAGAAACACTTGATAACTTTTGTTAAATTCCCTCAGCTATAATTGAAATACTGTTGAAATCGGCGCTAAACCCAATATTAAAAAATAAGAAGATATAAAACATAAAATGCATAGTTCATTATTTTCATAGGCTCTACATAGCACTGTATTATGTGCAGACAAAATGAGCTTCTCAGAAAACCATATTCACACAAATTGAGGATCCTACATGATCGTCTTCAATACAAGGGAATATGTATTAATTCTTATATGCAAAATTATCCGCTTATGAACATACAAAATAAATCAACGGATCTTTCGCCTCGAATCGAGAAATGATCACGGCTTCAGGTCGCCGCGAGTCAGCGAGTTTTAAATAAATAAGAATATCTGTAATTATGTGAAATGCGTGAGAAATTCAAGTCGTAGCATGAGAACGTGATTCCTCCTTTAAATCTGAGTCTCGCGCTTAGTGCAGGGATATTATTTACTAGTATTTAGCTGCGAGAGAAAATAGAAAAACTGATGGCTGTTAATAAATGAGCCGTGTCACGGCAAAACCAACATACTGTTCGCTTTTAAACATTTTAATAAGTAGAGGAACTGATAGCGAACAGAATGGATCCTGATCAGCCTGCGCGGATGCGCAGGCTGGTCTGGATCAATGCTGGTCGCAAACGCACTATGTTGGTTTTGTCGTGACGCGGCTCAAAAATTTATACAAGTAGAAAAGTTTTAAAATAAATGTCTGCTAGATTTTTATTATTAAGACTACCAGTGAATCATGACTTACGTACAAATCGTTACTTCGAGTTGATCATACATTTTTAAAACGTAAATTTGATTCATTTCCTACTAACTGATATATACAATTCGAAAATGTTACATACGTATGATAATATGGAAGTTTATGTAGTACCGAGATACACATAACATGATGACACTGCGACTGCACCAGCCTTTTCATTCTTTTTTTCTGACATTCTTTGCAAAATTTATGTTTGTATTATTTCAGCTAAGGTGACCTTTTAATTATATCTTTCAATATTCTGAATTCTTTTAGTCCTCGAGGTATTTATAACCATTCGTTTCAGTTTTTTAGAGTTTGATACCAACTTGTGCAGACAGTCATACCCTGATTTGTTGTACATGTATATGATTGAAGTTGTTCATCGAAATGCGGGCACCTGACAGGACTTTTAAAAGAACATTTTACGGAATATGTCTAAATACTATTGTTGTTGATGGTTTTCACACATTTTAATTCCAGTCAGTATACTATTCATCGGAAAAGTCGTGACAATTTCCTTGAGAAAAATATTTGACGTCACCAAAATCATTACGTTTTACTCATCCTTTATCTTATATTAAAATAGTAATAGCAAAATATCTTACGCGTTGACCCTATATTTTTATTGCATAAATATTTTCTTTCATGACTTCACTACATGTTAAAAAAATTATAGCAAAATTCACCGTGTTGATTTTTTGTTATTTTACAATCTTTATTGCGATATCGCGCGATATTTGTATCATAAATGGACGTCAGAATGTAGAGAAAAATGACGTAGAATCGCAGAGTATTAAGCAAATGTTAAAGAAAGACATTATTTCAAAGACATACATTTACTGAACATTATAAAATTAAAACGAAGGAAATCGGATGAAAATTAATAAGAACAGACCGGTTTATTGATAAAAAAGACGCAATTTCGCCGCCACCGATAGAGGGCGCTTTGACGTCATAGTAACGCTGTTTATATGTAAAATAATGCTGCAGAAGTAAAGCTTACATATCTATATTTATGTATACCAAAAATCATCAAGATCTGAGATGTTGTCAAATTTCGGTCGGAAAGTAGCGAGCTACCTTAAGCACAAGTGGTATACGTCAACTGTAACACCGTATACATTTGTACACCTTACACCGTATACAGTTTACCGTCAAGATGCTGCATATTGCCGTTTGTTAGATGATCAAGACGGCTTCAACTACGACCAAGATTACGCCAAATACTATGACCGCAACTACTACGACTAAGAATTTTACGACTCCCGGTGCGGCTACGATACGGCTGTAAAACGATTACGACCACGACTACAACGACTACGACTTAAACTATTAAAACTACCGACTACCACCACTAAGACCACGTCTTCTACTACTACGAGTACAGATACGACAACGACTAAGACCTCTAATACCACGACAGCTACGACTACGGTAACTATGGTGGCTAGACTTCGACAATTACGGTGACATGTACATCAATAACGACGGTTACGATTAAGCAACAGACGACAACTCTGCCGTTGACTTCTACGACTTAAGCAACAGACGACGGCGACGGGCAGCACCACAAAACATAAATTGGTCATTTTCTGGTCTCCCTACTGTTTATGAAGACTGCAGGCAAAAGAGTTCGAACATACTTTCTTGTTATGGTCAAACTGAACTTGACCTTTGATCTACTGAAAGTCAGTAGAGGTCATTTTATGGCGATGATCAATATCCCAAGCAAATTTGAAAACTAAAGGAAAGAGATATGATAATTTCTTAAGCGCTATATGGTGCAACAATGTAGTTACAAGGGTGTTGCAAACTATCATTTTCGGTCTATGATGTTGATTCCGAACAATCAACAATAACGTGAAACAGTTTTTTTTTACTATTTACAGTCATTTTAATCAGTGAGTTGATGCTAGAATAGTAGCCACTAAAGTTGAAACTTTTGTTCCCGCTCTTTTTGTAAAAATGAAATAGATGAAATACAGTCAATATGTTTCTTTGAGCTTAATATATTGTCCGTGTTTCTACATTTAGGGACATTTGAGATGACAAGTGAAGGAGATGAAGACGTGTACGAGGTTGTCAATATCGGCAAGATCAAGGCTCACACTCCTAACCTCCGTATTGTCAACATGTACGGTATCACATTTATAGATGATTCTCACATCGAGTTACTGACTTCAAACTGTATACATTTAGATTGTCTAGCCTTAAACTACTGTCTCCGTGTGAAGGGGTCGTCATTTAAAACTCTCATACAACGATGTAAGAAGCTGAAAACTTTACTGCTGACACATACAGGTATTGTCAAACTGTTTATTTCTGGATTTTTAGTTTTAACTAGTATTAAGTACATGTATTACATTTCTTAACTTTTCCGTATAGATTTCCTTTAGAACTAAGATTAAATTTTGTTTTCTGTAAAAAACTCTTATATTGTAAATTGCATAATAAATGATAAGTAAAAATTAATAATTTTGTATTATGTGTGTTAAAATTAGGTTTAGAGAATGAATACATGGTGAACGTGCCCTGGGAAACAGCCCAAGTTCACGAGCTTGATCTGACGTCAACAGAACTGTCGTCTGAATGTCTCGAGAACGTGTTAAACCGTATCCCGTTCTTCACGTTCCTTGGTCTGGGACATTGTGAATTCTTTACCGACAAGGTTAGTTTATACATCATAGTCACCATTTACAAAGTGGCAAACTCTTTTTATTTATATTGTTTGGTTAGAAAATACTATGATTATGAATCTTATCCTCAGTACTGCCGTCTGGAACACAAATGTATTCTGGGCATATTCTGACGTATTATTGATATGATAATGAAAATCACGATTGTTCGTGATTGTTCTATGACAATTGAGGTTGACAATGCGCCGTATATACGTGCTAAAAAAAATCACGATTTTTCTATGACAATGGTGGTTACAAATGCTCCGTATTATTAATATAATACATATAATGAAAATCACGACTTTTCTATGACAATCGAGGTTACAAATGCGCCGTATATACGTGCTATAAAATCACGATTTTTCTATGACAATCGAGGTTGCAAATGTGCCTTTTTATTAATATGATAATGAAAATCACAATTTTTCTATGACAATCGAGGTTATAAATGCGCCTTATAATAGATATAAAGCGTGTATTAAAAATCATGATTTTTCAATGACAATCAAGGTTGCAAATGCGTCGCATTATTAATACAGTATAGTAATGAAAGCCGTTGTTTCCTTGAGCAAGAAAATTTATATTCATTGCTTAGTACTGGTTGGTTCCAGGAACGGATTCGAGAGTTTTTCAATAAGCTTATAGCTTCCAACACAATCGAACTAAAATAAATTTGTATTAACTAAAATAACGATTGTTCTATGACAATCGAGGTTACAAATGCGCCGTATGATTAATGTACAATGTAATACGTGTAATAAAAATCACGATTTTTCTATGACAATCGAGGTTGCAAATGCGCCGTATTATAAATAAAATACCGGTGATAAAAATAACGATTTTCAAATGATAATCTACGTAACAAATGTGACAGAATTATGAATGAATGATATTAGTTATACTGAAGGTTTTGTTAATAAATCTTTAAAAAACATAGTTATTTAGTAGATCTTGTATGTAATACTTTAAAATTAAGATTCGTTGTTCTTCCTTGTAGATAGATTGTAACAATTTGGCATGACTTGCATTTCTCATTTATCGATGCCAGATACCTTTTTGTTTTGCTTGTTCGTACATGTTTGACATGATTTACTGAAATGCTTATTAATTATGTAGTATTCTGAGTTTGTAATTACCACTGGTTAATTAGCTCGTCGTAATAAGCTGCGTCCATGTGGAAACTCTTGTCAATAAGTAGCAAATTTTGGCAAGAATCATGGGATCATGTGGTTTTGATTTTCTATAACCATCCTTGAAAATCATCAAGAATTTTTTCTATATTTTATGATAGATGTAGAATAGTTTAAGAGAAAGTGGGCTTTATGAAGACATGATTTAGTTAAGGACCAAATATTTCTAAATATCTTAAACACGTTTCCATATATTTTACAAAATACACGGTGATTTCTGTAACTGATTGCAATAATTTTGAAATGTTGACAATATTAACGCAGCACAATACACTTATTATATCATAGTTGTATAATTTGTATTAAGATCCTAGAAGGAATGGTTCAGAGGGGAAAGTTCAAGCAGCTACGTGCCATAGACATAAGTTCGACACCCGGACTGTCCGAGAACACAATCTACCAGTTCCTGCAGCTACACGGCAGACGACTTCTCGGTCTCGTGCTCTCAGGAAAACCTATTCTCACAGAAAATTTCTGGTTGAATGTGATCGGGTTCTTACCAAATATTAGGTACTCATTCTAATTTATCATTGAGTCTTTCATTTTGTTTTGTCAGTAAATTATGCAGTTTTACATAATAATAATAATGATGATGATGATGATGATGATGATGATGATGATGATGATGATGATGATGATGATAATAATAATAATAATAATAATAATAATAATAATGAATATTGAACGTCATGAACTTTATAATCGAAAAAATACTAACATCTCGCGCTTAAATTCAGCCACTTTAACCTTTAACTCAACTGTATTTATTTAATGGATATGCCCTGCTTTGAATTTGGAACAGTCCATGCAAAGTTTCAGGGATTTCAATATCAAAATACAAATATTTAGCAACCAACAGTAAAAAGCCTGATCAGACTTCACGGATGTCATGTTAGCCTGTCTCTATACTTGTGACAAAGCCTCATCTCTTCCGGCCAAGCAAGGGCTTAAACTGGAACGATTCTGAATCAATGCCATACAGGAAATATACGAGGCTTATAATGGAACGATTCTCAGTCAACGCCATACACAAGGCTGAAAATAGAACGATTCTTTATGAACGCCATACAGGAAATATTCAAGGCTTAAAATATAACGATTCTTTATGAACGCCATACAGGAAATATACAAGGCTTAAAATGGAACGATTCTCAATCAACGCCATACACGAAATACACAAGGCTCAAAATAGAATGATTCTTTATAACCGGCCTTACACGAAATACACAAGGCTTAAAATAGAATCTTTATGAACGCCATACAGGAAATATACAAGGCTTAAAATGGAACGATTCTCAATCAACGCCATACAGGAAATATACGAGGCTTAAAATAGAACGATTCTTTATGAACGCCATACAGGAAATATACAAGGCTTAAAATGAAACGATTCTCAATCAACGCCATACAGGAAATAGACAAGGCTTAAAATGGAACGATTTTCAATCAACGCCATACAGGAAATACACAAGGCTTATAATAGAACGATTCTTTATGAACGCCATACAGGAAATATACAAGCCTTACAATGGAACGATTCTCAATCAACGCCATACACGAAATACACAAGGCTTAAAATAGAACGATTCTTAATGAACGCCATACAGGAAATATACAAGGCTTAAAATGGAACGATTCTCAATGAACGCCATACACGAAATACACAAGGCTTAAAATGAAACGATTCTCAATGAACGCCATACAGGAAATATACAAGGCTTAAAATGGAACGATTCTCAATCAACGCCATACACGAAATACACAAGGCTTAGAATAGAACGATTCTTTATGAACGCCATACAGGAATAATACAAGGCTTAAAATGGAACGATTCTCAATCAACGCCATACACGAAATACACAAGGCTTAAAATAGAACGATTCTTATGAACGCCATACAGGAAATATACAAGGCTTAAAATGGAACGATTCTCAATGAACGCCATACAGGAAATACACAAGGCTTAAAATAGAACGATTCTTTATGAACGCCATACAGGAAATATACAAGGCTTAAGATGGAACGATTCTCAATGAACGCCATACAGGAAATAGACAAGGCTTAAAATGGAACGATTTTCAATCAACGCCATACAGGAATTATACGAGGCTTAAAATAGAACGATTCTTAATGAACACCATACAGAAATATACAATGCTTACAATGGAAAGTTTCTTAATAAAAACGATTCTTGATGAACGCTTTACAGGAAATATACAAGGCTTAAAATGGAACGATTCTTAATGAACACCATGCAGAAATATACAATGCTTACAATGGAACGTTTTTTAATAAAAACGATTCTTGATGAACGCTATACAGGAAATATACAAGGGTTAAAATGGAACGATTCTTAATGAACGCCATACCGGAAATACACAAGGCTTTAAATTGAACTATTCTTAATGAACGCCATACAGGAAATATAAAAGGCTTTAAATGGAACGATTCTTAATGAACACCATACAGGAAATATACAAGACTTCGAATGGAACGATTCTTTTTGAACGCCATACCGGAAATATACAAGGCTTTAAATGGAACGATTCTTAATGAACGCCATACAGGAAATACACAAGGCTTAAAATAGAACGATTCTCAATCAACGCCATACACGAAATACACAAGGCTTAAAATGAAACGATTCTCAATCAACGCCATTCAGGAAATATACAAGGCTTAAAATGGAACGATTCTTAATCAACGCCATACAGGAAATATACAAGGCTTAAAATAGAACGATTCTTAATCAACGCCATACAGGAAATATACAAGGCTTAAAATGGAACGATTCTTAATCAACGTCATACAGGAAATGTACAACGCTTAAAATGGAATGATTCTTAATCATTGCCATACAGGAAATATACAAGGCTTAAAATAGAACGATTTTTAATCAACGCCATACAGGAAATATACTTACAGACATATAGGCTAGAACTTGTCGACCAAATCTGAATTATTGATAAGGTGCTTTCAAAGTTGTCGGAAATATTTTATTCCCGCCAGCTGCGGATATCTTCTCCCAGAACATGTAATTCAGTCCGACGTAAAATCAATACGGGTCTTTTAATGTAAAGGATGTAAAAACTATCACAAGTTAACTACATCAGACATTGTGAGATATGTCGAGACTGCTATATTTTTATTTTTATATCTCCCAGTTTAGCTTCCATACATGAACATCTTTAAGAGGAATATTTTTCGTATAAAAAGTAGGCCTATATATAGATCAAACATTTTCTCGCTAATGTTATTCAATAATCGACATGATTATTTCAGTGTCTTTCGTTTATCGTGTAAGCTAACAACAATGACAAATTCATTTAATCGTATTTTCGACTTAATTTGACATTTTATTCAGCCAGGCTGGTGAGAAAATTAAGTTATGGCAACTTGTCAATCACAATAAAGCAATTTGGATCTTTTGAACACTTTCAATCGGTAATCAGTGTATTAGAGACGTTGATTCTCTGTAGTTAAGTATTAATACTTTTATTTCAGCCTAACATTGTCTGGTTGCACATAAGAGAGCACAATTTTGACTACTCTTCTCGAACATACATTGAAAATTAAGTTATTGACAATTTCAACTAAGAAATATAAACAATATTTTATTTATCAAAGTATTTATAAGAAAAATATTTTGATATTTTGCGTAGATAATTTTGCAAATTTACATATTCAATAACAACACTACAATTTACGTTGTGAAATTTTTTTTCTTATATAGAATTCACAGCAATCACATATTCAAAAAAGATGACAGACTCAAGTAATATGACTCATACATCATATACACTGGTTTATTACGTGTGTTAAAACCTGGTACTCCCTTGTAGAACGAGTTTTTTTTAGAAGTAATTGAAATTGATATGATTTCGTAAGCGGTAAAAAGAATATAAACCGCTAAAATGTAATGCATCTAATTTGAAAACTAAGCATGTCTTAGTTTTATTTTCAACTTACAACGAACATTACTTTTGCACAAATCTAAATAATTCTCGTTTTTCATTTCTTTAAGTATGCAATATATGTCAACAAACAATGAATGTAATTAATATTTTGCATTAAAAACAAAAACAACAACAACAACAACAACAACAACAACAACCACATACACAAAACAAAACAAAATTAACAAACAAAAAACAAAGAAATCACATTATTACATTGAATTGTTTAAAAAAAATATAAGGAGTATAAAACACAAATATTTCTGACGTATATATACACGTGTTGATATATTAATATTACAGGATCTGCGTGCTGGGTACGGCTAATGGATGGTTTCTCAAGCTCACCACGAAGGTTCACATAGATCAAGTTATCGAGGGATTCGCCCAGAACTGTGCATACCTGAGCCGACTAGAGATACAATGGGATCCTGATACTATTAGGTTCAGTGATAAGAGCAACAAGTTCGTCGATCATATCAGGTAAAAATAAACCTTAATATGAAACAAGCACAGTGGAGTTAGCTCCCTTCGTTATAAATATTTTGATTAATTTCAGTTTTGTTTAAACCAAGGAATATACATGTATAATTATATAACACGCAAATGGTTATAATATAAAATTTTGAACAGCCAATAACAGTCATAAACAGAATGACAAATGAGGCTAAGTAGTATTATCATGGTTACATATTATATAAACACCAATCAGAGATCTATACAAACATACCATTAAAATACTTAAATACCGAAAGATTTTAGAAAAGCAATGGCGAATGAGAAATTGTTTTGCTAACGCATTATTTCAAAATTTACATACCTGTTCAACTAGTATCTTAATTTTGAAATACTATGCTAACAAAATAATGATAACTTAAGTAATGAGACTATCATAAATCTATCATAAATATTCATTAAAGGGACTCCACTGAAGTCCACACGACGTTCCATTTGATGTAAGTCTAGACCAATAACCCGTGTGCACAATTTTAGATAACTCGTGCACTCCGTATTTCAAGAATAATTAATTAACCCAAAATTGAAAAGAATGAAAAGAATATCACAAAAATACGAAGGATTTACAATTCATTTCTTAGAATATTTCTTAATTATCTGCCGTATATCTTTCTGTTTGAAGTTTCCCAGCTGATCTTTATAAGAAATTCAAATTCTATGTTATAAAGATTAGACCTCAGCGAAGTTCCTTTAATGTCTGGTTATATACTCGTCATGTTTGAAATCCTGACTTATTTTAATATTTTTTTGTACATGCAGATTGCGATGTCCACATTTAAAGTCGTTCACACTGAGTGACGGTGAGTATTATGAGATGGTAAAGTCTAATTTCGAGCGTGCAGACAGAATGAAAGTTGTGAGGACAACAACAAACTACTCTACCAGTATAAACAGTCTAGTCAGCTGCTTTAATGACCTTCTCTTCAACTAGATCATCTATATACACAACACTTATCTAGCTTCACTTTCAAACCCGTTGCTTGGTGACGATGATGACAAATATCTTAAGTAACGTTGATCAAGGGAGACAACTCTGACTATGAAGATTGAAAAATTACCAATTGACCCCATAGACTATCTTGAGTAATAGTCTGAACGAAAGCCATTCCGAATACCATCATTATTTGTGCCAAAAACACATAAGTTATGTCAACCTATATTATCAATTGGTGTTTCGATGTCAAGATGTATGTTACACGTTATAAAAACGGAAGAATATTGACATTTCTTGTATAAATTTACAAAGTTTTTGATGCAGGTACATGTAATGATTGCACAATATTAGCGTCGTACATGTAACAGAGACACACAGTATCTTGTTATTGTAGTCACATGACTTTAAATAGGATCATTTACAGGATTGTCATTATAGCTGGCTTTAACCAAAACCTATCACTAAAATAGCTCTTACCATGTGTACCCCGGTTTTGTTATTTTTAAAATTAAAGAAAAATATATGTGCGGACAATATGTGCAATAAAATGAATGTTTTTAAGTCATAGAGCCATCTCGGATTGTTATAAATTTATCAAATTATAGTAAAATATCCTTTTATACAAAACGAGTTGCTTATTATTATAAATTAGATTATATAATCGCATAGCAAACATTGTAATAAGCGGTATTCTAGGGAAACAACTTTTAAGATGATCTCTCATCACATTCAGAGAGCTTAAAGATCATGTTGATTTTATTTCACAAATTATGGTTGCTTATTTATGCCATGTCATATTTTCGCTCCGTGGTCACTTTTTTCGTAATTTCGTATTTTCGTCTGACGCTACGCATAGCGAAAATAACGCTCCCTTGGAAGAACCGTTAGTTCATGAGTGAACGATAGTGAAACATTAGACCGATGCGCAGGAGAGTAAGCCAAAACTTTGTAGCATTTTCGTGTAATCGTCTGGCGCCCAACGGATCGAAATTACGACAAAGTGGTAACATTATTTCTTTGGCGCCCCGCGGAGCAAAATTACGATATGGCACAAATCAGCTACCATAGAAAGTGAAATGTTTTAACTTAATCGATCTCGCATATAGCGGTAACTTAAGCCTCTATTACATCAGCCGCACGAAGTTTGGTTCGTACGATTTGTTGAGAAATTTGTGCATAGAAACGTCGCAGGCTATTTCGCAATCTATCTAGACAAATATGTAGATCGTAAGGCAGACGTACGATGTTCGTACGACGGTCGCATGACTCGCATGATATTTAAGCTTGAAAGTAGGACAAAAACGAACAACATTTCGTACGGTCGTCGCAAACTGACCGTGCAACAGACGTGCGATTGTTAAGATAGTCGTAAGGAAATCGTACGAAATTAAAAAAAATCGCATGGGCACCGCACGCTCAACAATAATTCGCAAGGTTGCCGTACGATGTATGTACGTTCATCGTACGAATTCGAAAGTGAGGATTGAATGCAACACCATCATTAGAGTTCCTCGAATTGTTTCAATCAAACTTGGACGGCAATTCAACAACAAAGGTTGCATTTGAGTATTCGAAGACGGAGACTTAGTGAAGAATTGCGCCAAGCAATTGTTCTGGCGTTGCTTTTCAGAGTGCAACAAGGCCGGAGAAGACGGGCATGCGTTTGTGGGTAAAATTCTTGCCCCGTGTTCACAAAGAATAGATTAGGATCAGGATCAAATGATCTTGATTTTATTTTCCTTGTTTTATGAAACAAAAATTGATCATACTTTTCCAATTTAATCAAGATATTAGATATTTAATCTATGAGGATAAACAATGGAGAATATTTGAGTTTTTAAAATTTGATCCTGATTTTGATCCTGATCCTTAAATCTATGTGAACACGGTGCCTTGATTGCGCGACGTCCGTTGTTTGGCCAATATCAAACACTCTTCCAGGAGCTGGATCGTGAGTCAATGGGTGAATACATGGGACACAAAAGAAAGAGCCGCAACATGTTTGGGATTTTCAAAGGATATGATTTTTACAAGATGCGCAACTGACGCAACGGTTGTAGGGCTGTTGCATAGCTGTCGTACGAGTTATACGACTGTCTTACGCGATTGACAACTGTCATGTGACAGCATTCGATTACGGCCCGCAGTAGCCGTACGATGCTCGTAAGGCAACTCTGCGGTCGTGGCAAGACAAACGCAAAACATTATGACTTGAGAACTTCTTGAAATCGTGAGTCTGTCGTACGATTGTCTCAAGACTGTCTTGAGACGTCCAAAATCAGACAAAAAATCGCAGAAATAATGTGCATGTTGAAACTTTGTCTGCGACGTTGCGGCAACCTTGAGCGACTTTAAAAATCTGTACGACTGTCTTGCGCCTGCCGCACGAAACACAGCGATTTTTATCAAAATGCGTTCCTTACGGCTGCCGTAATGCTGATGTGATAGACACTTCAGATGTTCTACAGGAAATGCTGATTACATGGTTACAATCGGAGGACTTTTCCAATTGTTTCCAAAGCACACAGAACAGAACACATCACAACACCACGCATATATCTTTAAGCAGGAAACAATATGGACTATTTCTCAACAAATTTCTAAACTTTCCCTTTGTGTTCGAGTTTAATACAATTCATATACCAATTAACTACGGGCAGTTCATACATTTGATCACATACATTCTCAGGAAATTGCATTACAATAAAGTGTTTGAGAAAAATGCCGTTTTATTTTTTTAACGTAGTTCCATATAACATTTCACTGCGCGATATTTAGTGTTAACGGACACTAGGATTACGTGGATCGTATTTTTTCCGAATTCAATTCACATAGATATATGAATAAAGTAAACAAGAACAAATAGTAGCGTAGCGGTATAGTTGGTGCTAGTTCTTTGGTGTGTCAAGTAACGTGTTCAATAAATAATAATTATTTGTCACAAAAAACACAACAAATATCTGTAGTGGCAGCTACTTTCTTAAATATTTATAATCAGTCAGAATAAGGATACGATTAAAAATGCTGAAAATTTATTGTTATCCAAATATTTGTTAATATATAGACCGTAGTTTAATCATCATAATTTATTATAATATGTTCAATGCATAATGAATTTTACACGACTCGAGACGCCCGTAATGATAGGCTGTTTTCAATGCATTGTAAAAAACACCCCTATTTTATAATGTAAAAACTTTTTTAAGATTCATTTATGCGCCTGTCTTTCTTCCCAAGAAACGGGCGAGTGTTCACAATCAAATCTTATCTTAATTGAACATATTCCTAACTCCGTGAATTACTGCATTCAAAAATAAAGATTTTATAATGATAAAATATTTGCTAAAATAGGATGTGATTGAATTGAAATGAAATGAAATAATTGAAATAAATAAATAAATAAATGAATGAATGAATGAATGAATGAATGAATGAATGAATGAATGAATAAATGAATGAATAAATAAATTAAAAAAAAATAAATAATATTAATAAAAGACCCTAAAACCTACTGGCTTTCATATTTTTTTTATTTCCTCTTCTAATAAAATAGACTCCCCTTATCCCCTGTCTGATAAAAAAACCTAAAAAAATTAATTTGGTATATTTTACGTTTGAATACTTAGTAACTATCAAGTAAAATAAAATTAACAGTTCCGAATGAAGCGCTCAAACCATCGTCCCATTATTGTGATTTTAATCAATATACATTTTGTATTTGATTTCTCTTTTTGTTTTCGCCCCTTGTTTAAAATCCATAAAAACTTACTCGTCATATTTATACAGCATGTAATATAATTTATATCGTATCTCAATGATATATTTTCATCACGTGAGAGTATGAAAAATATTTACTCGAGTCATATAAGTATGTTTCAATGGCATTAAAAAAAATATGGACCTTACGTGCATTTGATGAAAAGCTGTAATAGGATTTATCGGTCGTTCAATTCATACCGAAATAAATTACATTCGACATCACCCACCCGTTATAAACTCATAAAATACGGACGCTACTTCAATTTGAAGTAGAATTGAAAGTTGAAATGAAGTAAATCTATAGACGATTATATTTACTAACATTTAAAGAGGAATTGAAAGTAAACATAGTTTTAATAAACATTAGAATCAATGGACATAGCAACCGTGAGGTTTACAGTATCATCATTTTGTGCTTCAATCATATTGATTAAGAGTGCACTCAGATAAGTTGTGTATCAACTTACCTTTTATATTAGCTTTACTTATATTGGATATATCAAACTAAATATTTAATTCTTTTGCAATAAGTGAGTAAATTTCATATATCTTTTATATTGTTTTATTACGAACAATGTGAAATATTATTATGTTCAGATTATGCATAGTCAAGATTAGTTTTGTTATGTTTTCAGAGAGATTGTTATTCTCTATCGTGAATGTTTTTGGATGTATTTTGAATCATTTGATTATAATATGATAATTAGTTATGTTAAATAAACATCAGAATATATTCAACACTGTCTGACCGACAATAAGTGTCGCATGTGCCACTCTAGATTTATAAAGATCCATAACTATGATATCACAATATAATATATGTTAATCTAAGTAATATTTTTATATGTAGACATCACCATTACATATGACCAACTCACATATTTTATATAAAATAAAATGCAATAAAACGTATCTGATTAATAGCTACGACAAGCTGCAACGAAACATGTCTTTTTATTGTTATCAAAATAAATAAAATGCAAAGTGAAAAAGCATGCCGAGATATAGGATCTTTTGTTGAATAATGCAAGTATGAATTATTAATTTCCTGCACTGATCATCTTTACAACATGATATTTTATCATTTGAAGAATGTATATAAGAAATTTGCCAATGCGTTACAATAGTTTGTATAGAATGTCAACAAATGACTTGGTTAAATGCAAATCTGAGCAGGAAGGAAATGGGTTGTTTAGTAAATCAAAAAGCTAACACTCTGCAATGGATTTGTTTCGATTGAATCATGTCAAGCATATATGGACAATTTTACAGGTTGACTTTAATTATTTGCAAACACCCTTTCCTTGTTATTTGTTGGTTTTCTGACAAATCATATATTCGCGTTATAGATCGACGTGACAGTTTTGTATCTCAATGTATTATGTTTCCATATTGATTTCAACAAACGAAAAAATAACAAACCTGGGGTGTATCTCAACAAACAAAAACAAGTTGAATCAAAGAAACATCTTTAATATTTAATTCGAATCTTATTTTGATCATCCAAATTGTCTCCAATTTTTAGCATTATTAATCCATTTTCAGTATCTTATAATACAAACTTTTTTCAGTAAAGAAAAGGGACAAAAATGTCAAATAGCCCGCCTGGTTCCCCTCGCAGACCTAGCGAAATATCGTCACTACGAGGAGCAGAGCCAAAACGCAAACCAAGAGGGAAACCAAAACGTGCCGATAGCCCGGATAAAACGCTTCCATTTTTTGAACAAGATCAATTTAGTGATGTCAATATCGTGGTATGGTATAGTATACATTATTTGTAATTATTTGGTAAAGATCAAGTATTCAAAAAGATGTGTTTTCAGGAAAAAAGGAAAACTTTCTATTTCAAATAGATTTGATAGAGTACAAGTAGCGAATGTCACGTAGATCTGTAAGAGTACAAGATAGATCTGTTAGAATACAAGTAGCGAATGTCACATAGATCTGATAGAGTACAAGCGGCAAATGTCACATAGATCGGTTAGAATACAAGCAGCAAATGTCAAATAAATCTGTAAGAGTACAAGTAGCTGATGTAACATAGATCTGTTAGACTACAAGTAGCGAATGTCATATAGATCTGATATAGTACAAGTAGCAAATAGCACATGGATCTTACAGAGTACAATTAGCGAATGTCACATCGATCTGATAGAGTACAAGTATCGAATATCACATAGACCTGTTAGAGTACAAGTAGCGAATGTCACATAGATCTGATAGAATACAAGTAGCGAATATCACATAGACCTGAAAGAGTACACGTAGCGAATGTCATATAGATCTTTTAGAGTACAAGTAGCGAATGTCACATAGATCTGATAGAGTACAAGTAGCGAATGTCACGTAGATCTGATAGAGTATAAGTAGCGAATATCACATAGACCTGATAGAGTACAAGTAGCGAATGTCACATAGATCTGTTAGAATACAAGTAGCGAATATCACATAGCCCTTATAGAGTACAAGTAGCGAATGTCACATAGATCTGATAGAGTACAAGTAGCGAATGTCACATAGATCTTACAGAGTACAAGTAGCAAATATCACATGGATCTTACAGAGTACAAGTAGCGACTGTCACATAGATATAATAAGAGTACAAGTTGTATAAATCACTTTTTTACAATGGCATCTACAGGAATCAATAAATCACTAAAAAAGCTAGAAACAATTCTCATATACAAAGATCGACAACATGCTAGAGCAAATATTTGTCAATGCATTTATTTCGTACACAAAAATCAATGAGTTTAGAGTTGAGAGTACTGTAAATCAATTAACTAATACAACTTTAAATGATCACAAGCAATAGCTTAAAGAAGAGGTAGCAAAAACCTATATGCTCTTTTTATTTTCGTTTCAAAAATTCTTAATCTTTTAAATGGAGTATGTAATATATAGAAATGAAATGGTTTTAAAAAAGCTATTTAAGTAATTCAAAACTTATTCATTACTTTTGAATAGAAAGTGAATTGATTTGATATGTACTTCAAAAAAAACTGAATGTATGAAAAAAAAAATCTCGGTTGATTTCAATGCTTTCAGATATTTTAGATTACGGTTTAACATTTTGGTGTGCTTAATTCTATTGCATATAAAATTTACGTTTTGGTAAGCTATGATCAAAGAAACGTAATATAACTGTTGCAAGAGCTCTTTTTGTTCTTTTTTTTTAAACACATTTAATTGCTTTTTAAACAACTGTAGAATTCTTGTAGAAATGTCCAGTGACTATGCACTTAAATGACTGGTCCACAGATATTGAGCAAAACCGCATACAGCATCTTCTATGTACTGATGGCCCTTGTGGACTACAGGACTGTTTTTGAACTTTTCGCAAGCACTAATTGTTATTGGTCCTTCATTAAAGTTCAAGCATATTCACCAAAGTTTCATCACCTGTCAGCAAGTTAGAAATAACCCGACGTTTGTATGTTTCCAGTTGTTGGGCATACTTAAGGCGCTGTTTATAACGTTTACAGCAGCAATGTTTGCCTTGGTAACCGAGGTTGTAGGCCTACCTGAACGGTACTCATCTTTTACAGACAATTTCCCAGCTTTTAAAGCTTTGATCCATACCTGAGGTATATGCCACACAATTCATTATATATCTGCGTTGTGGCTATATCAGGCTTAATGCGGCATTAAATATAGATTCGAATTTCAGTTTTGTTGTCCATTATACAATATAATCAGTATATTAGACAGTGTATATGGCAGCATATATTTCGAATTAAAATATCTCGGTCATTTTACATGCAGACGGCATGAATCAAACCGTTATAGTAAGGTTAGTGAAATGAGGCGTTTTAAAATTATATCAGAAGAAAACTACGGAAACCTATTAATGATATTGAACTTATTGAATGATCCTGTTTCTCATCGTCTTCACTAACATATATATTGACGCCCAAATTGGTTAGTAATTTACATAAATACAGCGTTTCATCAAAAGGGACAGTATGATTTATTTGTCTTATGAACGAGGTAGATCGTTTGGAATACATTAGTGCTACTCAAAGTTATGAAAAACAAACCCTGTTGTTGTAGCAAGGCATCATATGATCAGATATAATTTAACACCCGTGTACATATATAGCATAGTTGAAATTTTATTATTCGATATAACACCTTGTTCTTCTTTTCGATATTTACTGCAAAATTTTGATTTTAAAATAGGTATAAATTCTATCATCATTTCCGCCAAATATTTGTTACTTGACGATGTACATATAAATATTTGTAACGTTTTAACTTTTTTTATCAAAAACATGTCCTATATATACAAATGTATAAATCGCTAACATTTCATAGTTTTTTTTTTTTGAAAGGTTGGGGACAAGATCCTGTATTCAAATCAATGTTTACTATCGTTCAACTCTACAGAGTTCATGAAGCTTCTAGGAGGAGACAACAATGCCGGTAAAGGGAAAACTAAAACAGCCGGTACAAAATCCCTAGATCTTTCCAAACACCCGTTTAAGGACGTGGTTGATCTAATGTGTGTTATTGACCCCCGAGTGCCATATGATCTTACAGGTAATAATGTATTAATAAAGTACACATGCGTATATAAATAATATACGGTGTAAGCATGAGTAACGACGTTGGTAGAACGTCATAATACTCATACTGAGCATTACAATATGCAAACATTAACATAAGAGAATGCTTCCCATATATAACACAAATCACTCTTGGTGGTGAGCTAGCTTTTCACCGAGTGGGTTTGTGTGCCTTAAAAAATTACATTAGGTGGCAGCGCTGGGATAAAGACAAATGCCGGACCCATTGATTTCCCAGACCAAGTCACGAGATGCAGATTTGGAGAGGTTTTTGAAGAATAAAATGTCTGGGCAAACCATTTGAATATATATATATATATATGGACCACGTTCCTTTGATATTAGTAAATAAAGTTTAAACCTGCTCTCTTTTTTGTTCTAATTGTAAGGACATGATAAAGATGTTTATGAATTTTATATGATGATTTACAACTTACATATCAAAGGAATAAAGATTTCTACTTTGCATTGCTCTGGTATCAAGCTCGTTTAACTTAAAACTAAAGAGATTAATGATTTAAATGTAACTTCAAAACCTTGATATTCAACTGATACCAAAAATGTTTATAACCCGTATATTTTTATCACACCCATAGAATATTGTAGTCATTACCTTTGGAATTTCCTTATTATCGCAAAATTTTACAAGGTACCACTTTATGCACTGGAAAAATATCGTTAAACCTTGGTTAGTACAATTTGCACATATTGTGTAACGTTTTAAACTGTAACTGTTAAAGTGACGAGTCTTCTCTTAACATTAAATAAACATATAAATTATATTACAGACGATGCTGCCATTCGTTTACTACCTCTAGCTGAAGAGTATGATATTGCCCCTGTCAAAAAATCCTGTTCCTGGACAGTGACCGAGTCATTCTTCAAGAAGAAGAAAGGTCGACGTGCAGGCCATATTCCCAGCAGTGAAACTATCCGATACCTGTGCCTTGCCGACAAATACAAAATGAAAGACCTTCAAGAAATGTGCTGTGATGAACTGGTGGCTAACGACGATCCAACAATTAGTAGGTCTATTGTAAATGAGGGAGATCTATCCGAGTGTACGAAACGTCAAGTTATGGAGAAGAAGTTTGAAAAAGTAAGTTTAGCGCTTGCTCGTGAGCGAAGAAAGAACACAGAGAAGGAACAACCTAAAGATACTCGAGGTAGCCACATATGGAAGAAATAGAGATAGAATGTACATGCACATAGTATTGCATGCTAAACTCGCGTACCCGTGTCTTAAGATTGGAACAACAATCGCTAGCAAATTTACAGTTTACTTTCTATTAATTGAACATGTTTATTTCCCAAAGGAAAGCATAATATTTATAAACTAGAAACGGCATATAGACGTATTTGTAGTTTGTGCAAATTTAATGGTTGTGGAAGTACTCTGGGCGTTTTGGAGAAGGTATATTAATATCTTTTAATTGCCTTTTGAGCAGATGTCAGCAAGGATTTTCTTGAATAGGCCAGGTTTTTCTTAACATCTTTTTTTTTTTTTATCTAAATCAGATTCACATTAGTAAGTCTTTTTAAAGGTATCATATACATGTATTTTAGATTACACTAATACAGTTTTATTTTTATACATCAATGTTATTAATGACAGGTTTTACAATGGAGACGTCAAACAATGTAACTTACTCTATAAATTTATTTTCAATAGTTACAGTACAAAACATGACACATGCCTTATACAAAAATAATTTTTTAATCATTATATACAATGACAAGTAATATATAATATAAAACACGTTTGATTGCTTTTCGTCATCACTGTGCATGGATTAAATCACATATAATATATATGAGCCGTGCCATGACAAAGCCAACATAGTGCGGATGCGCAGGCTGGTCTGGATCCATGCTGTCAATTTATAAATCACGTCTGTTGATACAGAGAAAAGTGTTTTACTTGATATACTAGTTTAAACAAAATCGTAATAAAATATTTGTACAAAAATGATTTAGTATTTTGATATAAATTTCTTCACAGGACAGATGGACTGTTGTTTCTTGTTATAAGGATGAACTACATGTATATCACACTGACAAATGTGAATTGGTCCGTAATGGAAGGTCTTTTATACCACAAATAATTATATTGATATTATTAAGTATCATATGAAAACAAATAACGAAATAATTATATATGGATGTTGTCGTACATGATCAAATATTACATATTTAAGTACATCATATAATAAAATATTCTATAGCAAAATATTATTTTAATATTCGTCATATAAATGTTCATGCTAAATTACTTAGAACTTTTTTCACCAAAGAAATATTTTATAAAATATAACAAATGAATGATAGACTTCTATTGTTTTCAATCAATTTTTGAAATACTTGTAGAAAATATACCCATTGTAGACCAATCCACTAAAACATTGTAGTGCACCTTAAATTTACTATTTTGATACATTTTTATACAACATACAAAGAACATAGGTTTTATATTCATAACGTTCAATTTGATAACGTTTACAAATATCTTATACATTATTGTAGCGTTATACTGGTTTTCACTGCATTTTGTCTTTATAGCATATTTGCAAGATGTGACAGGTATCTTGAATGAAACCATACATTTACCATAGTTAAAATGGTTTCCTTTTTTGCCATGGGCAGATATTTAAAGACCGAAATAACCATTTAAAATAACTGCACTTGAATTTCTTCTTATAGAAACATCTATATGGTATTTGAAAAAAAATAAAGTAATGCTTTTCTTATTCTTATAGTAATATATGTATTAGATTAGGTCAGACAGACTACCAACAATTTATAATATCATAATTAAAAGTAACATATCTTAGTTATAAATAAAAAAGAGAAGAAAAACAACAACAACAATAACAAAGTACCTTAACTAACAGCCTACCGTTATTGAGTATTACAAATGATTATAATGATAATTCAAGAATATTTGGAAGCAAATACACAATGGACAGTCAACTAAGAAGATCCACGGGCCATACAAACTAAAATAGAAGTCATAAATGAAGAGTTCAAATAAGGGGAGGTAATGAAAAAGTAAAGGACTTGACAACAAAGGGAGATAATGGAGGTGAGATTTATTAATGAAATAGTGACTAGATTAAAGAAAATTGGTTGAAACAATTTGCATATAATATTATCAAGAACATCAACTGAATTAGATCTTAAATACTCTGCGGTCTTTTTTTTCATAATGTGTCTTGCCGCACAACTGAATAATCATAATGATAACATCATTAATCATATTTATAAAAAGTTATGATTTGTTGTCCTTATCATATAAACATATAATAATGCTGTAAATGAAAGAATCTAACTATAGCATAAAAAGTGTGAATTTTCACTCAACCGCCACTTCATAGTTGCTCAATTATTTGGTTACGAAATCCAAAATACGAAATCGAAACGTAACTATGGATAAGTTGGCCCGAACTTCTCCATCAACAAACAACGCTTCAAACATAATACGATGTCTGTTGTATCACAGTCGATTTATAATACTTAGATATGACTTAATCAAAACGTTATAAGCATAATTGAACCTTGGTTCATACATAGGTAGATACAAAGTATATCATCAAATAATTAAAATAAGAAACATTTGAACAATAATGTAAACTTAGAATGAAAACTGTACACCAACGCTAAGATGTAGGTAAATTTTTGGCAAAACGGATAAATCCAGTTTGAAGACAGCCACCGTACCGTTTTCTGCGATTACTGGTGTAAGTCAGAATCAATTAATGGACAAACAAAGGATAAAATAGATATAGATTATGTTTGTTTTTGTATTACATGTATATATAATTAATGGGTGTGCCATTTACAAGTCTTTCTGTATCCGACTTACTCAATTGAGCCTTATATAAGACCAGTCACTGTAATGTATTAGTACGTAGTAGACGGTTAGTCGAGAATGAGAGCGAGAGAGAGAACACAGCGGACACAATGTGGATGAGATTGTTAATAAATAACTGACGAAAACAAGAGAGTGATATGAACATACAACACGTAACTAACACATGTTCTGCCGACCATTTAACCAGTTCATAAATGTCATACATGTTAACCTAGAACAGATAACACTATAACTGCTATCATATCGAAGTAATTATACAAAAAATGTTATATTATATCTACATAAGTCTAAGCTGCTTTAGTCGCAACGTCATGATACAATTCGTGACTCTTGTTAGGCTTCTAAAATTGTGTCAAAAACCTTTCTATATTCATTTCATATGTCAGACACATATGAATTATGTGGGCAGTAGTTTATTTTGAATGTATGTACTCAAAACTGTTAACTTTCTACGATAATGAAATGAACCATTGATGTTGCGACTTATTAAAATATCACAGATTTCTTTTATATTTTACACATGGAGCAATTGATGTAACAAATAAAATGTCTATGCTAAATATACAGTATGTAAGTTAACAGCAATGGAGGTAATTATCTCTTTCTCGTCGAGTATCCTAGTCCTACACTGTGTTGCAGAGTGGCGTGTAGGTCTTCTATTCTTACATCCTTCAGATGAATCAGATGTTCTAACCGACGGATTTTAGCATTGAGTATCTGCAAAAAAATATTGAGTTGAAATTGTAAGGATGTCAAACACGGCGATACTCCAATCGCCACTTGAATTGGTCTTTTTATATGAATAGCAGTGGTTAAGGCGGCAGGTACGCTACCGACCACCATTCCCCTCCCCGCATTCATACATAACAGACTCAACAAAAACATTGTAGATGTGTTCATGTGACGGTTACTATGGAATCAAATAAGTGTAAGTGCAACAGTCGCATGGTCCCAAATACGACTAAAATATGTGCTCTTAACCAGAAAACAATAGACGGGACTAAATAAATAGAATTCTCAGAGAAGATCGAATGTAACGTAACACCTTTGTGTATCACAGACATCTGTCTAAAGATTATCTAAACCAGATAACATTGTTTAAACGTTAATAATTTTCTTTCTAGTATTCAATGTGTAACGATACTTTGTAAATGTTAGTATGTATGCTTGCACAAACATGTCGTCAATTTAAACCGGTTATATTTTCTACAAGCGTTTGTCGTCAAACCTTATTAATCCAAAATATTCAGATATATCGATATACGAATACTGCTAGCCAAAATATTGAAAGAAAATGCATTATGACTAGAGGCTTCGGGTAAGTCAGTTATAAATTAGCTGTGTCACGACAAAACCAACATAATGGGTTTGCGACTAGCATGGATCCAGACCAGCCTGCGCATCCGCGCAGTCTGATCAGGATCCATGCTGTTCGCTATCAGTTTCTCTACTTGTCATAGGGTTTGTAAGCGAACAGCATGGATCCTGATCAGACTGCGCGGATGCGCAGGCTGGTCTGGATCCATGCTGGTCGCAAACCCATTATGTTGGTTTTGTCGTGACACGGCTCAAATGACTATCGCCGGAGCTGATTTCTGTGAGATGTAATCATTTATATTTTATCTGATGAAATATAATGAATAACAGGTGGACTGAAAGTTTCTGATCTTTTATATGTATATACAGTTGAGGAAAACAAAGACACACACCTGAATGGTTTCTTCCTTGGCTTGACATTCCATTTCCTTCTCCTCATATAAAACACGTGGTATATTGTCAGACACGGGCGGCAGGAACGTCTTTGGTAAAAGCGGTAAGGGCTTATCAGCAAAATATGACCTGTAATCAAATAAGTTCTTCAGGTTATTCCTGTCAAAATTTTATATCCTACTTTTTAATTTCAACGTAAAATATTAAGGTTTACTCTATTTGCATAGAGGGCACAGTTATTCACATGACCCTCTCGACTCTTATTTTGAATTATCATTTTACACAAAGCTATTTCGTCAAACAACTTGTCTTTGTTATAGATTTACATTTCAATTATTCTATTCTATATAGTTTCATCAGCTGTAAAATGATCATGTTTACATTTAATAAATATAAATATAGATAATAATACAATATGGTTCACTTTGAAATTCATTTCAGTGAATTTTCATTTGTTATTGCACTGTGAATTTAGTTAAACACGCGAAATTTTGAATTCAATTGTTAAATATACGCCCTAAAAATAATGTGTACAGTTATTTCAATTTCACAAAAGTATAGGATAAGCATAATGGCAAAACAAATCAATAAGACTAAAGTTTAAATTTCTAGTATAATTGCTTGTTTAACAGGTAATATAATAATAATGAATTCCCTTTTAAGCAGTATAGCTTTTTTTGGCACTTGAGTAAATAACCTAGCATATAATTTCTCATGCATACAATGGCAGTTTTTGTTAAACATATATAAAATCGACAAATACTATCAAATGAATATGTATTTTATCTTATCTAAAAGAAATAAACTCTCCATTCATTCCGATTTGCGCAACAAAACGTGCAAAACACCGATGAACACAAATATTAAAAAGTTATTTCAACAAAACAAACATCACGCCATACGTTGACAAGAAATTTAAGTCAATGTATTAAATACAATCATAAAAAATTAAAGTTTGAAAGAGAATAAACCTTCTAGAATCCATAGCTAGAATTCCAATACCCGAGCGTGTTAAATTCACAATTCAACTACTCTATTTGGCACTGCGTACACAAAAAATTTAATAACTTGTGATCGACTTTTAGCCGTTTAAATTTAATAAGGTTTTTAACAAACAAATAGCTAAAGCTCTGTTTAACCCAGAATTGAACCGCTGATCTATATTGTGTAAAACTATCTTGATTGGGCGAAAAGTGGAAATAGTGCAATAAAAGAGTTTAAGTTAGTGAACCACTCTTTGTTGGGTGAATACATATAATTATTCCATATAGCATGTAACAGCAAGCTTTCATTCCGCATATCATCTAATATTGTATAATCAAGTATTTAATATTGCAAAAATACCCAAGAGAATTCTTGTAACATTTTATATGAAATGGCAAAACGAATAAAGTGCTGTGCTCACAAATATACAAACAGAAAACAACAGTACTAAGCAACAAATCAGCTGATTTGGATTTCGAAATGTTATTGCCCGTAACATTCTTTTAAATAATCTAATAATGCATTTGAAATATTACAATTATAATGATAACCATGTATTTTCTTATTTCTTACTGTATTGGGTGAAGTTAATGCAAACCTAAATGATCATAGAACATTATCAAGGACTTAAGATATTGCATAAATGTGTTTATCTGGCATCAGAAATTCCGAAATCTTCATCCGAAAAAAGTTGCAACCATAATAATTGGTGCCTGATAATGATACAAATTTGAGAATTGCAAGTGTAAAGAAGTGCATCCAGTTGTTCAGATGTGTATTATAGACAATACCGATCAGTATAAGAAAATGGGTAACCCAGGTAATCGACGGCTAACGCATCAAAACTGAAATAGGAAAACAATAAAAGCGAATTTTGAAATATCAAATTGAATTACTTAAATTGTATTGGGACCATCTAACATTGTCGTGCATGTATTTCTAAACAAACGTATAAGGCAGGGATACAAACATAATTAACATATACGTGTGTAACATTTGCGATGACACGTGAAAATGGAGCACGGTAGGTTTGGGAATCAACACGCACGATCTTACCGTGCATCTATACTTTGACGGTTTTCTGAATTTCTCGCAGTATCTGATTTTATATCTCTTCTTCAGTATGAAAATAAATAGTCATAGAAAAAAACAACAGACAACCACAGGCTTAAGTCTTTTTCAGAAATGTATGATATGAAACTTGTAATTAAAAGGTAACTTAAGTTCAATGTTAAGTTATTAGGCATTGTTTAATACATAAGCAGTAAAAGCAAAAATTTGATGAAAAAAAAACAACCTTTTCAGTATTAACTAAAGACAGAATTGACATGCTCTATTACATAAACAAAAACCAACAAGACATAATTATACTTCAAGATGCATTTGTTAAGAATTATTTTACATTTTCAGATTATAAAACTCAACAAAACGATACCAAAACGTGTCTCAAGCAGTGAAACTAAAGTCAATATGGATAATTTGAAAGAATATACATTAACATTGTTATAAAACAAGCTGGTTTGCTTCGAAAAGACTGTCTTGATATTTTCATATAAATGCTTTCATTTGTTACGTTAGTTTTATAGCTTTGAGTACACTTTTTGTTTTATATCTTTATTAAAACACGTGTTTTATCGCCATGGAATTGTTTCCAGAAGGACAGAATTCCAGCTGGAAAATATACCAGGCGGTGCTACCAAGGTCTCACCTTTGCCATCGAGGGTCATAGAATGCCAAATCTCGTTTACTCAAATGTGAGATTCTTACAGATAAAAAAGGAAAAGTAGAAACAATAAAAATCATTGTTACAATCACATTAAAGAGAGAATTGTTTCTAGAAAACATAAAAAACCTTTCTAACTAATTACGATTGGCACGTGATGAAATAATTTTGATCTAAATTGCATTTGATTTAAAGCCGGTTAAAACTATTTAATCTAAGAATATTGCATCCAAAATAAAATATCAAGACGAAAAAATACTACGATTGGAATTTAAATTTTAGAAAACCCTTACCAATCGTCTGACCCTTGCTGGATGTACCGGCTCAAAAATTACAAGAAATTCAAAATTAGATAAATCACTACGTTAAGAAAGTTCCGTGTCAAGAATTGTGAACAAAATCGGATTATAACGGAGTGATTTACATTGTTATTTTTACCAAAGTAATTCAGATTGTTAATCTAGGACACGTGACGTTATTACTAGAAGTGAGGCAATGTGTACAGTGGCTCATAAGTAAGTGAAATACTGTTCGATAATTTTGATAACTCTTAAACTATCATCCAGTACAAAAATAATAATAAAAAAACTTGTATTCGTTTACGATTCATAATGAAAAGCATTTTCTTCTAACACGTTTGAAATCTAATTTAAGAAGCTTCTATTGAAAAATTAAGACAAACATTATCACAAAATGCAGTCATTTCTAAAACAGAAATTACAAATCGTAGTACTTTTGAATAAAAAAGAAACTTTGTTAAATAATAATGAACAGAAAGACACCGTGACGTTAGTAAGTTAAATAAGTACTTTTAATATGCTTTGGATTTTATCTGAAGACTCACTGAAATTTGCTGCAATCAGTAGATAATTGTTTGTTAAACGAGAGACAGATTTAGTATATGGTTGTTGTTGAACACAACACAATGAAGAACTCTGTTCATTAACTTCTACTTAAGTTAGACACCAGACATGTGCGTATGACATTTCTTATTTTATGTATACACATGAAAATAAAATGCAATGTTAAAGAACAAAAATAGTTTCTCCATTGTTTGTTTGGCTTCAAATGACCAAGCAAGTTTTTTTTATCCAGCAATAAGTACATGGGCAGGCCTAAATGTTACTTGACGTTCTTCTATCCTCTTATATAAATACATGAAGACACTATGCTTAAACGTAATATTAAGGGTTCATCCCAAAACAAGACTTTATGTTTACAGAAAAGGATGCAAATATGATGTTTCTATATCTAAATAATATACAAAACAAGTATGTGTAATAGAAACAACTAGAATTACGCTAGCAAGACGAGTTTATATGTAAACTATGAGAATTTATTAAAAGCTGTATAACCACCTCGAAGCTACGCTAGACTTACGGGTAATATGCAATACTTCGGTGTGATAGAAGATTAAATCTGAAATTTGTTTTGGAAATACATATCAAATATTAATTTTGTAAACGAGGAAATATTTTTGTCAACGCTTAAATAACAGATCTCATGTAATTCAAACGCGTTGTATGTTTTATTCATGGTAAAATGAAGCTATACAGCTTTTAATTTCATAAATTTGTTGTTTTTGTCTGACAGTCAGAACCTTATACATGTATATGTGTTATAAAGCTTTGAATAAATGCGTACGTATTTATTTTAGCAAAAATATATACACGCAAGTATATCAGTATTAACAATATTTCACGAAGAATTAACTATCAAAAAGGATAAATGGAAATAATACAATATGTGGTAGATTATCAATAAAAAGTTATGCTTCTTTAATTTAAAAGAAAACGTTTACATAATAAAACATTTCTACTTGAGTATTTCCAAGATAAGAAAGACACTGAGTCTAAGACAGTTACTACCGTTCGAGGATGTATAACATTCAATAAAAATAACTAGCATCACAAAAGTGTTATATTTACAGTTAATGGTATTTTGAAATATCTAATGCAAAAGAACGTGGTTTGCCATAGTCTTTTCCCTACAATTTGTTCATACATAAATCATACTTTTGTTCGATTTTAGGGATTTTCACATCCAGACTGAGTATTCAATCACCATTCATGGGCTTTCTTTAACGTTCTTTTTTGGTCCCCATTTGATAATAATAAAAATATCTTGCTGTCCATATACAAAACAAAACTCTAGATGATCTTAGTCGGTTATTTGATACAGGTATGTTCTATCAGTAATAATTGTTATCTAATAATACATTTACCCGTGTCCTCTAGAAATAAACACATCATAATATATATAATAATTATATATATATATAACATTATTGTAACATTAATCAAATACTTACGTTCTGTCTGGATGTCCATGTGGGATCTCACCCTTGTTATATTTGCGTGGTGAGGCACCTCCCTCAGATTTTGTTAGCCTATTTGGTGACATTGACCTGTTTGATGTGTCTCCACCCCTTGGGGACTTGATTCCTGGTGGGGTATCTGAATATAGTATTAAAATAACGTAAAAGCCGATTATAAAGGAAGACCTATCATAGCAATAGCATAAGCGCTACTAGATTTTTTTTTCTTAGCGCATATACCATATCAAATAAGCTAAAAGCAGTAACTGCTTGGTCATTCTGTGATGATGAAACCAACAAAAGCCGTATTTGAAAAACATACACTAGATCATTATTTGATGGTACAAAAACGTCAGCAAAATTGTCCAGCAACAAAATTTATGTTATATAGATCAATCAATCAATCTTGAAACTTTTATCACCAAATAAAATTCATTTTATAAAATAGATACATTTATCAAGTAAAAGTATGTGACATTAAAATCTTGAGTAAATATGAATGTGTGAAAGCGTGCATTTTCTCAAAACATGTGAACAAATACAGGTGTCATTATATTACTATCATTATCAGAAAAACCACGTGTAACTGGCAACACGTGTTAAATGAATCAAAACACAATGCTAATGAAAGTAAACACTTATTTTAGTAAAAATCAAACCAAAACAAATCATGTTAATTATCTTAAGTAATTCAAAACATGTAGTTTTGCATTACAAGTTTCAACCTAAATACATTACAACCAATCAAAGTTGATTACTAATACACTTATAGTAAAATGTGTCTCACAGATCAGACAAGTCGATTGGTTATATTCTTATAATATTAAAAATCAAATAAAACCATTTGGTTATATCTTAATAAAATCTACAATCCAGTAAAGTCGTTTGGTTATAATTTAATGCAATCCACATATATATGTTCTAAGTATTAGCAGAGTGAGTCTTATGTAAAACGACACTTAGTGAGTGAACAAGCAATCTAAACATAACATTTTATAAAAGTTACTATATTTATCATCATTGAAATTCAATTTAAATTCTAACTAAGCATCAATAATCATTTTATGAATATATCAAATGCTAGCTTTGACAATACTACGTTTTTGTTGAGTATTAGGTGGTAAGTTACACAGACACTATAAAGGTTATATTGTGGCTTTACAACTTTAACTGTGGGGGTAAATCTAAGGAACCCCTCTGTGCGTTATTCAGGTACGAGCGAGTACAAGATATGACAACCAGATCTTCCGTTAACTAGCTGGATAGCTCCATAACATGGGAAGAATTGAAAATTCCTGATGGTACTCAACACGCAGATGAGGACAGGTAATTATAAGTATGCGATCATAATCTCTGGGTCAGACAGAGACCTCAATCAATGGAAAATGAAATAATAAAACTATTAACACATGCATAGTACTACTGGTATATATGAACTCGATCATTCGATCACTATGGTCGGCTTTCTAACAAGAGTATCCCGTCATTCGTGACGTCATTCTATATGATGGAGAAACCATGCAAAACTACTAAACTGCTTTATACAAAGTGACGATATATCACTCCATTATAATGATGAGTGCTACTGAAGCAATAAATCTAAATTACTTTTTCTTGTTAAAAGTGACATTTTTAATGAAGTACATTATTTGATATTTAGAAATTATAAGAATAGTAATGTGTTTTTCTATTGTGAACTTTCTACATCTAAACGCTAATTGTTTCTGAAAACAGCATTCTTATTATATTAATACACAACAATACAGAAGTATATAAACCATATTGCATTAATGTTTATAATATGATACGTTCGAGTGCGCATGCGTGGTTGCAAAAAGCAGTTGAATGTAGCAACACTGAATTCTAGAACACTAACCCATAGCACCTTGATACACACTTAAAACACGCTGAAAATATCAACAATTTGTCAATATTTGAATTACCTGACATATTAACATGAAACACTGCAATTACATTGAACTGTATCAATAAATATAACACACAAACTTATTTATAAACTTCCTATTTTTGTTTTTTATTTAGCAAAATTGTTTAAAGAAGCCATTTTAAAGTCTAAGATTTCATAATCTTTTTAAATATATTTGTATTTGACTATGTATTTTGCTATTATTTACTTAACAAAAGTAGATATAAACATATTTGTAACATTTAAACTTTATCAATAAGAAATAAACTATTGAACAATGCAAACTGTTTGACTTGTTGCTTGGTGGCCGCAGAAAAGAGAAACTATTATTACCATTGTCTCCAATACACTACAACATCTCACCCTTAATTCGAGTTTCAACAAAATTGCAATCATACCTCTTTTAATACAGGCAAGTCATGCCCTAAATATGACTATTGAATAAATTTTGCATTGTATGATTTTATTTGCCTTATCTTATCTAACTTATCAAAAGCGGTACCTTTCTCTATTCTGTTTTATTGAATTGTCATTGTTTAAAGTTTATTGGTTTGCCTCGCGTTGTCTATGTATTTCTGTGTACTAACAGCATAGCCATACATACATTGTCATCCAGTACATGTAAGTGTAATGTCTGGGTGTTAATTTTTAACATAGACATATTTTGTTCATGTCGTAACCTCAAAATTATTACTTACTTATCTTTCATTCAACGTAGTTCTACCTGTTTCTTTCCATTCATAATAGTTCGTCCGACACGAGGACACAATTTTAAATAAACATAGTAAGAGAGAAAGTACGAAATTCAAATACAATGTACTAGTTTTAATACTTCTATTTTATATATGACCATATTAATGCCTAACAACATGCTATATTAATGTGTTTTTCTTTTCTATATCATTTATTTAGTTAACTCATTTTCACCTCTGTTGGTTCTTTTAACGATATCGTCTTTGATCTTAGAAAATCAATTCCTTAAGTGGGTAACCCTAATCCATATTCTATTCTTATTCATACGTATTGGATCGTAGTTCTTAATGCAATCCGCAACATGTCTTTTTGCAATGACGTCAACAATCTTGATTTTCAAACTCTCATTAATTATATATAAGATGTATGTTAGTTATTTATAGTTCATTACCAAAGCAAACCTTTAAAGCTAGAGAGAAAAACTGTTTTAACATTGATTTGCATAATAAACTAGATTAAGAAACTCGTGAAACATTTGTATGTGAACAAACAAAGGAACTGTGAAAAAAAACGTAAATGGTAAAAAAGGCTACAGCCTTACCGAGTCTGCCTAAAGCAAAGTTAAACAACTATTACTCAAACAGAACGACAGAAGAAACACACTATGTACAGACACATGAACACTTAATGTATTATTAACTGTATCGAAAAACAAACCTTTTAGAATTTTACACCCTATTCCACTCGGCAAAAATGTAAAATTACTTCTAGTCCTCGGCTTATCATACTTCATTTTCAATATAAAGCACCGTTAATCACTCTTTTAATTAAGCTGTTTAAACGTACCACAATGTCACTAAGTCAAAAATGTGTGAGCCAAAATAAGTTAACTCCTATAACATTACATGTATAACTACCATAATCTTACATATAACTTTTATGATAATCCCTAACAACTATGATAGACCCAATTCCTCCAAATTGTACGATAATTTGCAACGTATATTTTGGGATTACTTTTACATTTCTTTTATCCACTTATCTTTTCCCCTACGATTGATATCAATGCGACAAAGTGTTTATCTTCGGCAGATTAAATGTTCAAATATACCTATGCTATTTAAAACTTCAGTGATTAATTAAAGAATAAACCATTCTAGTACAAGTAGGAGCAATTCCATATCCAAGGACAAATACAAATTTAAGCCAAACTTAGTGTAGAACAAAACAAACAGGACTAATTCTTGTCGTGACATTTATAGAATTGCTGGAGAATGCTTGTACAGTACTACACCTTTCATGTTGATTTAATAACAGTAACACTGCCTTGTCATCGGTTATTAGAATCAATGAAACATAACAAAATAAAATGTCCATATTATGTTTAAAGATTTTTAACATTTAAAAATAAAGGTTATAGAATATAAAGGGCTGCTATATACTATCAGATAAATATTATTATCAACTGTTGTCTTTGACTTACAACAACAACTTTTACGCCCTAATATGAAGGTCCGTACAAAGAGCCATGTAGATGACGCATTTGTGAATTTCAATCAAAATTGCGATGTATTTTAAATTATATTTTAGATTCGCTAAATTCATAAAATTTAACGAGTTTTATTGTTAAACACTATCTAATTCACGCATTTAAAATTCCTGAATATTTCTTACTCATTGAGTTTTACGCTTGTTTGTGGACATACTGATATATTGTAAATTTGTTTTACATCATGTTTAAAATAACTTCTTCAACATAAGCGAAGAAATTGTCAATTTATCACAAAACTTATCAGATTTTTTTTATAAATATGTCATGTTATCAGCAATTTCCAAAAACATTTGAAACGTATAAACTATTCTACAAAAGTAATGGAATAGTTTTATAAATTACTGTAAAACATATCAATTCTTAACCTCTAGCCTGTTGGAAATGAAAATGTTTAGCCTTCGCCACCAGAATAGAGCCAGACCTGCCTGTATGTCCATGCAGTCTGACCAGGCTTTTTCTATTCCCTGACTAACCTTTATTTCTATATTGGTATGCCAAAAATATTGATAATGGACAGTCCTAAATGAGGGAGCTTGAATAGCCCGTTTGAGAAATACAGCAGATAATTTCTAGTAAACAATTGGCTTTACCATTAGCATATACCGTCAGTATGATATCAGGTTAGTCGGACAGATCCCTTCTTATCAATAAACTGTTATTAAAACGACATTGGACAATTCAATTATTTTTGTTTCCGTTGTGCAATATTGTTAATAAAACCGTATCGCATTTTGATCAAAATTCGTTAATTTCAACATCTACACGAGATCTCCGTGTACTGACAATGCTAGTTTCGTGTATCACTTACTAGGGTGAGACGGTGGTGTATTGAGATGAAGCCTTAACACTGGGTCAGGATTTTGGTAATATAGTTCTCGCCGGCGCCAGTGGGAATCCCTACCTGTTTTCTCAAGAAACTTATCTATCTGGAGCCGTAACAACATAAGCACTCTTTCTATCACCTTAGGTTTACAGTTTGCAAGTGCCCGTAGAACATCATCAGATAAATCCAGTTCCAATCGTCTGAAGACACGTCTGAAAATAAGACAAAATCAAATAATTACTCCATTTGCTTCTAATCTATCTTTTTCTTTCGTTTTTCTTTCCTGGCAAATGATGTCCATTAATAAAATGAAAAATTATTTGTCTGATGATCCGAATTTAAATTTGATGTACTTAAAACTACTGCAGACCATCTTGACAGAAGAATGTGTCTATTTTCATATATTTTCATAGATTTATTGCAAAACGTTACCAAAATTAAAGAAACATCTCTGTTTAATGGAAGTTTCTACAATACATAAGTGATTGTCAAACATTTTTTTTAAATACACGTATATCTCATTCAACTTGTTATAACAGCACTTTGTTCGAAACTTATTGAAGGTATACATGTAATTACGTGTTTCTTCTATCGTGTAATGATGCTCACCTATTAAGAAGGTACCAGTTTTCTAAGCGTTGTTTTGTCGATGCTGCTGGTGTGTAATTGTGAACATCTACCATTCTAGGAAAATAATGTTTTACAATTTCTGCAGCCAGAACTGAAAAATAAAAAGTAGCATAAAATATATTGTACCAGTTTATCATATGGTGAACTATACGGCGAAAATTATGCGCACCATCTAATAGGGCTTACATGATGAAATTGATGATATATTAAGGATGAAAACGGAACTTTTCAAAGCGGATAAAAATACATGTATAAAAGGGATGAAAGGAGACAACTCCTCGTGAGATGTTTCTCCATATTCAGGTGGTTCTCTATATGATGCCGGACATGGTTTTCACTTTTGGCTTATTAAACATTTACTAGGTTTTCTATTCAAAAGGATCCCATATTAGGTTTGACATACCTTGTCATAGCTCCTTTAGAAATGTATTGGTGTTGACATTACACTTATAAAGTTTCTAGATAGCCATCCCTTAAAATGCATTGTTTCGAAAAGTCTTAAGGTATGTTTGCTTACATGTTCGGGAAACCGAATATTTATGTTGCACACAGTCATTGCCAATGATTCTGATGTTTATCCTGGTCATATCGGCGCACATTTGATTTGTAACCACATGAACAGTGGTCTCACTTTTAGGTGGGGGGGGGGGGGGGCGATATTTCAAAGGGTAGGACAGTGACCCTTAAGTTTTAAATGTCGTTTAATTATCATTTCCTTAAATAATGCAATGTTTAAGAAAACAATGTTCTAGTTAAGCTTAAGCTTACAATTGAAAGACAATGTAAGACACGACCAACATTGTAGAGGCCCATCCACGTTCCTGTTTTGACATGTTCGGTATATCAAATGTTTTCCTGATTAGATATTCCATACAGATTGATTTTAAATTTATCCTCACATTTGATGTAAACATCATTTCCGGATGCTGTACGTGACTGAAATTTGATTACGTATAATGGGTGATTGTTATACAATAACTTAATTTTGATATGTAGGTGTGATACATATAATTTTCAGAACAATATGTAAGAAAATATAGATTTATATTGCTAAGACTTTCCTAAACAATGCATTTTAAGAGGCAACTTATTAGAAATTGGGTTAAGTGAATTTGTCTTGATCGTCACTTGTATTTACACAATAATCGTTACACCATAGTTCACGCATAAAAAACAAGTGTACTGTAGCCTATGTAGCAACAATAAGCAGCATAAAAAGAAAATCCCGCCAATAAATTAATGTAATATATATCAATATGTTATAACGTTATTGAGGTGTTAAATTAAATCGACTTGAAATTTGTCTAGTAATTCAAGATCGTTATTATTTGTGCCTTAATTAATGTCATAGCAACCCTGTTATTTATCTTAAAGTCTTTGTGGAGATATAACCGCCGAAACCTTCCAAATTAAATATTTTATATGACAGGAGTGTTAAGCGTGGCCGTGAACTACTGAAAAGAATGTCATTTATAAAAGTATCAATTCAAGATCTATTCCTTTAGAAAGTTTGAAAAGAATAAAAAGTAAATGTTTTTCGATGTTGTACGAGACGCGATTAAAATGTATATGCGGTTGTTAAAAAGCATAATAGGATATTTTATCAATATTTATAAATGTCCTTTGGGAATTAACAGTTGTAAGATTGTACAAAAGGTTTTAGTCAAGATATTTACCCCCAAGTTTACACATAATATATTTTTATGAATTCTACTTGTTGCATTTTAAAGAGTGAAAGAATAGTCATAGAAACAACTGTATATCGGTATGTTGTCCGTTGACAAGACCCTTGTAAATCAATGCACCACAAAAAATTAAAACTCATGAAATTGAAAAAGACAACTGTTTCACTGTTAAAACATATGCTTTATAAATCTATCGTTTCAAAAGAGAGTTTTATTTATTTAGACAAAGATCGAAAACCTACAAATTAATAACGACTAATATAGGGTTACAAATGAAAGCTAATACATATACTCGTGGCTAGATCAAATATTAAATTCAATATCAATGTTTATATAAACGATCGATTAGGGAAAAAGGACGCGGTTTGAGAGTGGGAGCATTAATTAAGCGGATCGGGCTACTGTTTGCTGTCAGGTATATAACTTAAACAAGGCCATGTTTAAGATATAGACTCTACCCCCTGCAGCAATTTAGCATGTCTTGTCCCACAAATTAACGGGTATTTTTTAAAAAAAATCTAATATTTCTTCTTTCTAATACTACACGGAAGCGTATTCAATTTAATAAGTTTATTAATTTCAAAGAATAAATATGTAAAGTACAAATTTTCTTGTCTTTGTGAACAGCAGGGCGTTAATTAAAATATTGTTTATATTTCAGTAGGGTTACCAGTAAAACCAGTATATCTTAATTAATTAGTTTATTCTATTATAATGCACTGTACTGTCATGTCATAACAGAACAAAACGGAACAATATCATGACTATGTATGTATGTATGTATGTATGTATGTATGTATGTATGTATGTATGTATGTATGCATGCATGCATGCATGCATGCATGCATGCATGCATGTATGTATGTATGTGCCTCAGACCCTAGTGGAAATGAGATAAATACACTGGTACATGGTAATCTAATAATTGGATAACTAACGTCAAAGAAAGACCCCAGCGCAAAAAAATATTTTGTCCATGTTTAATATTTTAAAAAACATAGAAGTTTAAAAAAAAATATTTGGCGGAATCTTTTTGCAAAAATTAGATAAACATAAGTGGCACGTCAAAGTTTGACATACAGGTTATGAAATATTTTAACAGAGAGTTTGATGTCAGGTAGATCTTGTCAGAAACGGGTCGAACCTACTTAAGAAAAAAAAGATTGAATGCCATACAAGTTCTTGTTGAGAGTTATACATGATAGCACGATAAGGTTTGGGTTTAAAACGACTTCTACTATTAAAGTCATTAATGATCCAATTTAAATCCCTTTAAATTCGTTACCCGATATCACCTGTACTGGGTGGAATTAAGTCATATTTTGTTATCAAAAGCGGCCATACAATCAATGATTATTATATTAAGGGGGGAAATAGTGTATCGCTTTTTAGAAATAATCTTTATACTTTATGTACATAGTTACGGTGGAATGTGGTTGTTTTGTGAAAGAATGAAGATATTGTCTGAATAAATTAACCTGCTATATGACTTATGTTACGTAAAAAACAACTTTAATTTATTTTGTCATTTAACATCTGTTAACAGAAATGTTTCATGTCTTTTTTTATCATATGATATAAGTTAAAAAAAATTATGATATATTTTGAACTAAGGTTCATGCTGCGTTTTAGAATAGTGTCTTAATATTGTATATGCGTTTTCCTTCGATTGTCAAATATAGCACAACAGAACAGAACAGAACAGACAACACTACTCATGTATCTGTACTTTTACACACTAACTACTACGGTATCATGCTTACGCAGTTGATATTTGTTTCTACACATGAAATAGTAATATGTGTAAGGTTTTCTAGAAATGGTAAAACAGGGAACATTTTAAGAAAGTGACAATGATAATATAAATGTCTTTTTAAGTATATGAATATAATAGAACCGTATTAACACGTATATTAACCATTGGCTTGAACAGTACAGTTTTTAAAAAAGTTCGTTAATTAACATTGGAACAGAAAAATACTTTAAATATATAGAACAGACTTGACATGTTGTTTACAAAGATAGAAATAAGAATGCCAAAAAGAAAACTACGAAACTTAAAACCTTTGACAATAATGTATAGAAATTGATACATAAAGTTTTAAAATTGTTCTTATTCAAATGATCAAAATAACAGTAATTAAGTCATTATGATTATATATACTGCTCTACGGAACCAATTTTCAACCATAATTTTTCGTAACTTAAGAAAACATTTTTGAAAGTAGCAGTTTAGAGATCACTAAAACTAGATCTATAATCTAGCGATATGCTTGGCGAACTTTCTTTTATCTAAAACGAACAGTGGAATTAAGATAACTATTTGTACGCATTGAATGGGATCATTGAATTAAAGCTATTCAATATTTAAGTATTTGGCAAATGTTTTATAGTATGATTTATAACAATTTAAGCGTCGTTATTTTTTATTTTGTTAGCGGTGCAAAACAATCTGTCCTCTTGTTTACAAACGAAGAAAAGAAAACAAACCATGACTTCTTAAACAAATTGCTGATTGATTAACATTTTTTGGTTGAATCACGGCCATTGATTTTTTTTTCTGTCACAAGTGTGATTTGTATTGTTAATGTGCACGGCATTGAACTATGTACGCTGTTCAGTTATCGCATGCACTCAACTTAAAACCTTTTCGTTGCAAAAGATGTGCTTTATCAGACACTCGTAAAAACTCGTATAGATTTATAAAAAAAACTTAAGTTTGCAATCTAAATAAGCACTATAAATTAGAAAAGTGCATCGTATTGATTCAATAATATACCGAGAAACACAGCTACATGTTAAGCTTTATCGACTATCTACATATATATATATTACCTGCATCGGCGAAGTCTTTAGAAATATTTTTCTTAGGTCTTGACAATGGTATTCTGTCTATCCAGCTATAAAGTGACTCCACCTCTACATCATCGAAATATTCCTCCATATCCACTTTCGTCATCCCGTTCATTTCTCTTCTAGCTGTAATAGTCTCCATTGAATTTTAATTATATTGTCTTTTTATACTTATATTTTGCTTGTATAAATACAGACAGAACCTTTGTTTTAACGTCAATATCTTATCATATCCATTGTTTTTTCCTTTATTTTCGGTTTATATATATCACCTTCATGTATAGCGTCCTATACCACTGCTTATAGATCGTTCACTTAAACCTCTCACCGGAAATCGGTATTGTTGTATGTAGTTACCAATAATGTTTACTTTAAACTGTCTGGTGTGTTCCATTAAGTACGTTAAACGAATCGAAAAAGTATCATTAATGAAAATCAAATAGACTTTTATTTTCTGTGTTTTATTGTGCGTGTCGTTTCCACTTGAAAACTAATTTAAGCTGTCAATAATGATGTTTAAAAAGGTTAAAAGGTTAAAATGGTAAAGATGAAGATTTTACGTTTGAAACTAGATATGGAATATTTCGTATAACCAGTATAAGTATTGTAACTTACACGTATTTACAGTTCGCCAAAGGTTGTCTGTCAATGAAATTGCTCTATTTTGCTTGAATTTTGCCGAAATGTTTACAATACACAGCTGTAACTCATCTGTATGTATTAAATCTATACGTTAAATGAGCCGATTCAATGGACTTCGTTCGTTCGAAAATTAATTTCTTAAAGCTGTATATAAACTGTAACCTATACTTATATTGTATCGATCTATTAATAATTTATGAGATGTATTGAAATTTATCAGAAGTGTGCCCTTTTTCATTATTTTTTTGCGAGTATTTAATGCCATGTACGTATATGTGCTTATACCAAATTTAAGAGACCCAATCAAATGGTTGTAAATGTAATACACGCTGAAGAGTTACTTACCTTGTTTAATACATTCGGACTATCTTAATTTCATTATTTCTAAATAAATATTTTTCAAAGATTGCAACGTTGTTGTTTATATTTTAGGATGACCATATGTACAACTGCCTCGGTTTATAAAAACTTGTAATTCACAGACATGTGGGGATTTTCCCGCGCAAATGGGGATTGATGGTAGCACCTATTTCCGTCTATGCCTTTTAATTACTTCGGTATATAACTTTTATTTCCTAATATATTTTTTATTAAACTTGGCGCATTTTAAGCAATATAATGTTGAGTTTGGAAATTAATTAGTACGTCCTGTGTTTGAACATACGTATTAGTTGCAATAATAGTTATTTATCAGGCAAGCTAAGCAGAATAATTTTCTGTCATAATTATTAGTTAGTTTGTTTAAACTTAATTTATTTCTCTGAACATATGTTTCAATATACAATATACAAGTAGTCTTTCAATGGAAGACACACAAGGTATTCACAGGTATGGTAACTAGCGCCACAACAGAATTCCTAGATTTCCCTTTTAATAATGCACCTATATCAACTATAACCACGCCCCTACCATGGGCAAAGCACCACTTGCGAGTACAGTCAGACCAGATGATAAATACGAGTTGGACATATCCCCGCAGTTTGGTGACACAACAAATGCAGAGCACTTATTTAGGGAACAATGCTTAATCCACGAAATCAGGGGATACAACTAATTGGATCGGACATAATAAACTTGTACATTAGAAACTTATATAAGTTCAAAACTGCACTGCATAGAATAGAAAAGAATAGAAAAGATTAGAATAAAATAAATTAGAATAACTTTTATTTCCAATCAAGGATCATGTTAAATGAACTATAACAAAATAACTGATAAACTAACCTTTTCTAACTAGACTAGACTGTTGTATCTTGTATTTCTAGATTTTCTTTTAAATAACACTTAAGTTTTTACAAAAATAAGATAAAGATTATACGTATAGTGTAGGTAGCTCTACAGACTACTGTAAAGAAGCATTCTCAAAATAAACTAGCCAAAATATACAGTAGGTGATAATGATCTGTATTCAAGGTCTCTCAAAAGCACAAATACCGAGTTACGTTAATTCATTTTTTCTCAGTATTATTTCTGAGTTGATAACAAGTAAAAATAACGTCTTCATATATTGTTTTACGATTATTTCATCTTTATTGCGCATTAAACAAATGAATTTGCTCATCTCAGACATTTTTAAAAGTTTAAATTCCTATCTGTTATTGTATTATATAACATGATGCGTTGACAAGTAAAAACATAAACTTCATTCACAGAATTTTCTACAAGACTTGATTTTATTAATCTTGTTATTTGTGAGAACTTCATATAATCACGAATAACTACAGTATAGAATATATTCATTACATGTATGACTCCCATTGCTTTCTAATTATTTCATATTACACGCGTGTTATATTCTTTTATATTATACACACGTGTTATATTCTCGTGTTATATTCTTTATATTTCACACGTGTTATATTCTTTTATATTACACGCGTGTTATATTCTTTATATTACAGACGTGTTATATTCTTTATATTACACACGTGCAATATAAAGGCACTTTTGTTATATATTAAGCGTCTGTTGATAAATAAAATTAAGTTAACTTAAGTGATATGATAAAAATAACCATTTGAAAAATCGTCTAGCCAAAATATTTTTAAACTCGTTTTATAATAATTGTGAACACCACTCTGAGTTAAACAGTATTTCCTCAGAAATAAAATCAGTCGCGAAAGTTAACGAATATTTATTAATTCATAGCCTATATACGTAAAGTTCTAAAAATAGACATTCGGTATCGACTAAATTTACCAGTGGTTGTGCAAGACTGAACGCGCAGAGCGTAACCGCAATGTTTCGGATATTTACATTAACTTCCTACAGTATTAACAAAGAATATCCGATTACTTTTTGCCTATAAACGGATCATTCATTCATTTAAAATATAGTGTTATTCAAAAAGAGAAAGGAAAAGTGTTGGTTTAAAAAACAAATTTCAATCTGGATTTATTTGATCAAGGTATTCATGCTTATTTCGTAGCGTTATACTTATTATTGGATAACGTTTCTACTTTCGCTTTCTGCTGATATCTATGTGACATTGATAAAGCCAGTTAGGCCACAGGCACTAGATACAATTAATTTACCTCTATATGCTCATAATACTATATATAAAGATTATTCTTTATATATATATAGTATTATGAGCATATAGAGGTAAATTAATTGTGTCCAGTGCCTGTGAGTTAGGCCGGGTGTTTCAGAGAGAGACTGTTAAAATAGCTATAGGTATCCCTTTTTAATATTTGTTTGAAGTTATTTTAATATAAACATAATAGGTAGGTGTAACAGTGGTAAAAAAGTTTCTTACGTTGATATATGGTACACTAGTGACATACACGTATTCAACTGACTGACCAATTTTTGACCAATACGTACACCATAGCAAAATAGCTACAGCTAGTAGGTAGGCATAATATAATAATTGTTAGGAACTCAGTCTCCGTATGTATGTCATAAGGCTGTGTAGATTTATCAATATGTTAGTGCAACAATGGATACAAGATTGTTTTCATATAATATAAGATAGATTGAACCCAACACAGCTGTTTTAAAACTTACGTACATCTAGCTAAGCTAGCTATACTCGTATAAAAAGTATTTTAAATGTTTCAGATACAAAAGGCAACATAATACATTCAAGTTTGGTATAAAAAGTATTTTAAATGTTTCAGATACAAAAGGCAACATAATACATTCAAGTTTGAAGTATGTGAAAATGGGGACCATGTCTTCTAGGGAAGAAGAGATTTTCAACAACGCTAGGGAAGAAGAGATTTTCAACAACGCTAGGGAAGAAGAGATTTTCAACAACGCTAGGGAAGAAGAGATTTTCAACAACGCTAGGGAAGAAGAGATTTTCAACAACGATTTAGATGACAACCACATAGACACTATGCAGGAAGATATCGAAGAAGATGAATTCATGGCAGGTTTTGCAAATTTGTTTATTGAAACAAACTCTTCAAATGAAAAGGAAGAAAATAAAATGGACATATGTTTTGGGTTTTCAGACGAATTTTTTACTGACAACATGGAACAAGAAAATGATTTAGGACAGGTTGCAGCGTGTGCATTGAAAAATAAACAAACAAACGTTATAAACGATTCGGACTCGGATTCTGATATTAAGTTTAATTTATTTGGTGATAGTGACGACGACGATGACCGTCCAACTTTAGTCAGTAACATCAAAACATTACCCGGAAGTATCTTAACAAATTCTGATAAACATTATGGGTCACAAGGTTCGGAAACGAAACCGAAAGTGAACACTAGAAGCACAATGTTTCCGCAAAGTTCTGGTTTGAATCAAGTTAATAAGGGAATATTGGGACTTTCGTTAAGTGATTCTCAACTTACGAAACCGGAGTATACCGGTCCAAAACCAGAGGACGACGACTTTTGCAGCATATGTAGAGATTCTCACACAAATCCGAAAACTTTGAAAAAATGCTCGCATAGTTTTTGTACTGATTGTATAGACGAATATTTTAAAATCAAACCAGAATGTCCGAATTGTTTCGTTGCCTATGGAGTTATAAAGGGTAACCAGCCTGAGGGGTATATGAGTGACAGTATATCAAAAGTAAAACTTCCTGGATACGAACAGTATAATACTATTGTTGTATCATACGGTTTCTCCGATGGAACTCAAACTGTAAGCTTTATTCTTCTACATTGTACTTATACATAGGAAACTACATTGTACTTATACATACGAAATATTTATTCGAAATATGTAATGATTCAAACTATGTAATGATGTTTAGTGCGTGAACGAAAAAGTGAATGTACAATCGGTTTTATCAACCTGATATATGATTATTAGTACACTACATATATACCACATAATCATTGTGTAAATAACCAATATAAATTTGTTCAGTTGCGTGTTTCAGATTTAATGTAGTTATTTAATGGCATTTTAATTAAACGTCACGTGAATTTAACCTTCAATTTGACAGTTTAGTACTGGTTATTATCAAAGCTAGATCTCAATTAAGGAGATTCGTACATATCTGTTTTGTTTGATTTAATAGGCCGCGTAGGCCTACATTAAAAGTTTTTGAAAGGTTATAAGGCCCTAGCTATATAAACGGAAATATATAAATGGAAATATAATTCGAGTCGCTATTTTGCAAACAACCGTTTATGTGCGGTTATATAATCTGTCAGAAATATTTATAACGAATTTATAATACAGCAAACTTCCTTTTTTAGCTCACTTGTCTTAAAGTGACAAGGTGAGCTTTGTGATCGCTTTTCTTGCGGCGTCCGTCCGTCCGTTAACTTTTACTTTAAACGACATACCCTCATAAACTGCCAAGCCAATTTCATCGAAACTTCACAGTCCGGAATATTAATGTTCCTTTGGTGGTCACCTTTGAAAATTATTCAAAGTATTAAATTCCATGCAGAAAAATTTGTTGAAATTAAAGCCCTGGGGTCAAAATTTTTCTTTTCTTTTTTTTTTTTTTTTTTTTTGGGGGGGGGGGGGGTCATTGATTTTCCTTATATGTATATAGTACAATCTTTAAAAATCTTCTTTGAAAAAACCCATAGAGCTAGAGTTTTGATATTTGTCAAGAAACATTTTCTAGTGGGTATCTACCAAGTTTGTTCAAAGAAAAGCCCGGGTCAAAATTGACCAGCCCTGTGGGGTCATTGATTTTCCTTATATTTATATAGTAAAAACTTAAAAAAAATCTTCTTTTAAGACACCAAAAGAGCTAGAGCTCAGATATTTAGCAGGAAACATCTTCTAATGGGTGTCTACCAAGCTTGTTCAAATAGAAGCCATGGGGTCAAAATTATTCTTGTTCATGGAGAGTTTTCAGATTCAGGTGAGCGATTTCAGGGCCATCATGGCCCTCTTGTTTAGAGAAAAAATGAGATTTTTGCATAAATTGACAGCAGCCGTTTAAATAAAACTATATACACTTCATGGTTGTCCAATGAAAACCTACGTTACAAACGTGCAATATTATAAGACAATTTATACATAGTATCCTATCATATTTAATATCTACAATCGTCTGCTTAGTCCCTTTTGTCAATCACAGTTCTGAGTATGTGTCTGCTTTCCGGTCCTCACTCAAATGCATTACAATTTAATTATTTGTTACCAATCACTGCACCATGTGATCTTCCAATTTAAAACATAATTAGGTTAAGCCTCGTTTTCATTTTCCATGTCCAAAGTCCAAAACATTTGTATCAAATTCTTATTGAATTTTCCGTCTGGTCTTTTTCCCAAAGAATTAGTCATATCTAATCCATATTGCGCGCTTAGTGTCAAAGTTCTGTCAAAATAGTGTGTAAAATGGTGATGTGAAATAAAAGGTCATTTTTAGTACAAAACTTGACTGGATACAGCAAAATTTGACTCGCCTAGCGCCTCTAACTACAGAACTCAATAATATGCTCATGTATTTACCTCATAATAAAGGGGATTGACTAAGGATTTAAAAATAACTCATCCCTCCAAAACAGTGCATCGTATATCATTTGATTTTTTTTAAAATTTTTTACTTATATATAACTATCTATTTCACAAATTTATCATCCTCCAACGTTTCGAGTGGTTAAACCCCTCTTAATCAAAGAGTTTGCTGTTTATTTTTATAAATCTCGTATTTATCCTCTTTTTTCTAACACTTTGTTATAGCTTTCTTCTTTTTCATAAATAAATTCATCTTTTTCAGATATATGTTAGCATTTTAAAATAGTAATCGTTCGTATTTTTTCTGTGTATCTTTAGAGTGAACATCCGAATCCGGGACAGCAGTATCACGGTACCAGTCGTACAGCCTATCTCCCAAACTGTCCCGAGGGTCAAAAAGTTCTGAAGTTACTAAAAGCATCTTTCAAAAGACGTCTGACATTTACAATTGGAAGGTCAAGGACAACTGGTTGTGATAATGTAGTCACGTGGAATGATATACACCATAAAACATCGACAAGTGGTGGCCAGGAAAAGTATGTAACTATTATAAATATTTACCGAGTCTTTCATTGTGTATACATATACATTTATTGTTGTCTTTCCGTTTTGTTTTAAAATATTTCAAGTCATTTCTGCAAAACGTACCATGTTAACTCACTAGAAAGGAGTTTATAAAGACCAATATCGGATAGATAACCATGACCATTAACCAAGGTTTAACTAGTACACATCTGGAAAGCAACGTTCCGTTCTCTTTATAAACAGTATAATTAACTATTTGTTAATTTTGTAAATTATTTATTCTAGGTTTAGGATATTAAAACCGATGACAATCAGAATCAACTTATTTCAATGTTTTAATGTATTTTAGTTTCGGCTATCCAGATCCGACATATTTGACTCGAGTACAACAAGAACTAGCAGCAAAAGGTGTTACAGAAGAAAGTGTTGATGAAAATCCGTAATGTGTGTTTAGTTGTAACTTTATCTGTGATACACAAGGTAAATGCCCTATAATGACTGTTTGAAGTTTCAGCAATAAGTTACAAGTATAATGTTTTAATCTGACTGTTCTGTTGACATGCTCCGATGTTTTCTGACGTCCATAATGACAAAAATGTATCCAAATATCAGGTACATATTAGAGAGTGAAATGGCAGAAACATTCCGGCTTTCATTATGGGCCATTTACCTTATACTGGTCAATTAAGTGTAGTTACATTTATGCAGAATGATGTTTACAATAGGCTTGCTAATATGTGTAAATTTATGTTTAGAATTATCCACATTTACCACATTATTATGACCTAGTACATATAATCCAGCTAAATTGACCGGCAAAAGTTACTAACCGGCTATCGCCTCGGTCAATATGACATTAACAGGTGTATATCGCATCATATTCAGTGGCTCACTAGTCAAACACTGTTTAATATTCTATGCATTATAACCACTGGGATTAATGTAAGCATACTTTATAATGTCACGTGCTCACTGCTGATGTGTTATAATCTTTATTCTGCTGAATTTCTTAAATTGTCTTGTCGGTTCTTACAACCTGGACAAACTTCATAATTATTAGAGAAAATATTATAACGAGTACTGGACTGAATAACAAACAGTGTACTAGCAAAATACGAGTAATTATAGTTTTATAAAAACAATGAAAATAAAACCAGCATCATTTCATCCGGATCCTGATCTTTTCTTAATGGACACGTGACCGGTTCTAACCATAACACACTTCGAGATCGCAGAATAGATGACAAAGTGACATTATGCTCATTTTTTTTCACTGTTGATCAAACTGAGTTGAATTAGTATATATTACAAAAGATTGATTTTTATTATAGTGATTGACCAATAATTGATAATTGGTTTTAAGAACTGAACAGTACCAATTCATGCTGAACGCTATTTATAGAAATGTCTGTTAGTCACTGTATTATTGATCATTCTTATAATGAAATATGAATTTGAATACAATTATAGTAAAATGTCTAGTTATTTCGACTTTTACCTGCTCATTGACTATATACTTTTGCATTGGCATAATGTTAATGGCTTTAATAAACTATCTTTAAAAAAGAATAAACTCTTAAGCAAACAGATACCGAAAAGAGCTTTGTCATTGTTAGCATTCATATTAGATTGCAAAATGCTCGTGATAATGTTAAATAAACATATTTTGGTAAGCTTTTCGTTTTATTTATTTCATAGTTTATATGTGTGTTATATTTTTGTATTTTTGAGATACTTATAAACGTTTATATTAATAAGCATTGAATGTAGTCAATGTACATATAAAGTAATGTTTCCGACGATTAGTTTTATGTCTACAGGAATTATTTAGTATGCGGCTTATTTTTGAATTATCTCCCTTATTCCATGTTTTTTTAAATTTTAAATCTTATCTGCTTTTTAACGCTGTCAGAAGTCAGTGACTTAGTCAATCATGGTAACATAGATACAATGGAGCGTATTTTGAAGACAGTAGATGACAAACACGTTATATAGTAAAAATTACGAAGATTTTATGGAGAACGAATACTTGTTTACAAACATTTTGTTATTAGAATATGTATGATGTTTTAGTGACATTATATGCATTTATTAGAAAATACAGGGGAGTATAATTCAATGTAAAATGGCTGACAATCCGCAACTTGTAATTAAAAACAGTCACTAATGGGGTCACTTTAGAACGACATAATAAATAAACGGATTACGAGTAAGTTTTTGTTTGCAGTATTTAATTTCATTTATGTTATTGTTCGGTCATTTTCATAGCATGATATTGTATCACATGCGTTGCATCAGTATTGTAGATTACGTGAAATATGCTAATCAAAATACATGATAATATTAACTTATTAATATTTTTAAAAATATTTTATTACTATTATTATTATGTTATCTATTATCATAGAAGATTGCAGAACTAAATTTACAAACGTAACAAATAAAGAATATTTATAGATAGGCCCATGATAACGAGTTATGGCTTTCTGTCCAGTATGTAGTAGACCTTCAAATCTTGTAGACAAATCTTGATTGAGGTGTAGATTGTGCTTAGTGTTGGTAGAAAATAAATTAAAATAAATATCAGCCGCATGATTTGAAATATAAACAACAAACAATATTTTGTTCGCTTTTGTTTTAAAAAATGTCCTCGACTTTTCAAATTATCACATTTTGAAACTGGTTTTCATCGTTTATCTGGAAGAAAGGTGATGGTTTGATTTCTATGGTGATATAAGTCCTAACACATAGAATGGTTTTGTTCTTACAAAAGTAAAACCTGATACTTAAATTGATATTACTTTGATAAATATTTTGTCAGTCCGTTTGAACAATAACATATTTCCATCGTCCTTCAAACTGGTGGTAACATCAAGTTTAGTTTAAACATATTTATTTCCCGAATAGTGACAGTGATACTTCATAATTGAAACTGTTCCCTTAAATATACTTAATGTTCACTTTATAAGTTATAACCGTTATTAATAAGCTTTCATTTGGGATATTTTTGAATCCAAGTTTTAATAATAAAAATACAACGTTTTGTTTATTTTAAGAACATACTTCCATTTTTATTTTACAACTACATTTGTACATTGTATTTTTATCTGTATGTTAAATAATTTTGGTTGTTATGTTTTGCTTTGTTATAAAAACAAAGATGATGTTTATACATAAAGTCTTATGCAATAAATGAGTTATTCTTTTACACGTATTCACTTACATAACTTTTCTGTCTTACCAGATGAGAATTTAATCGACGTTTCACAAATTCGCTTGTAGTGCTCTTTTATATTCTGTATGAAAGATAACGAGAAAATAAATTATAAGACATCACTTTAGAGTGCCTCGTTGACAATCTCTGGTACCTCGTCTTGTATTCCCTGTATGAGGGACGAACGGCAACTCTTCTTGAAGATTGAAAAAAAAAGTTGAATTACCTTGAGCTGAAGTTTTTTCAATGACGTGACATTTGGCGTGCAGATAATTATATCGTGTAATAATACATTTAACTTCCTTGTGTGTTAAAGATGGGAAAAGTTTGTAGCTTGTTAGAATGTACTTTAATAAAGAATGCTAGGCTGATTGATCCTGTGAAATGAAATTAGGATCATCTGAGATTTCCCTCCACCAGTAAAACTTGAATGTGATTATGTGACAGTGTCGATTTAATATAAAACCAAATAAAAGAAGATATAAGAATGAATTATTTTATTAGATAAAAGTCACTCCTTCTTTTAGTCACACTTCCTTTCCTTACTCCATGCATGTTCATCTATTGACTTATAACTGGTTATGATAAATATTGGTTGTATATTGTCACATTTGGTTATATGTTGTCACATTTGGTTATATGTTGTCACATTTGGTTATATGTTGTCACATTTGGTTATATGTTGTCACATTTGGTTATATGTTGTTACATTTACTCATTCGATGTTCGTTAAAGTTATATATGGCAGCATCCATCTTTGAAACCAATATTCTTGTTATATTGTTATCTTACATATGTTTTAAAGAAACAGTTTGACAACTACTTTGTTTACATTTTGCTTCCTGTGCGGTAAATAATTTCTCATTTAGTTGCATACATTTAATTTCCTCTCAAATGAAACATAAAAAAGAAATTACAAACACTAGGGAAAGAATTATGAAAAAGGTAGTAAAGCAGTTTATCATGTATATAACAGTGCTCCTGCAAAAGTGGCACACCTGTAGAGATCAAGTTTCGTACTTGAACCAGAATTTCTAACAGATAGGACGTCAATCGACACATTCTGTCTTGCAGTAGTATATACATACACACATCCATTGTCATAGACTATTTATAGTTACTTTCTCTCTAAAAACAAGAAAGAACTCACAAGAATAAATTCAGATTAAAGCCTATTTATCAAAGTGCCGGAAAACGTATTCCATCTGTATTTATCTTGGTATATGATATCGCCAGTACTGCTACCTGTTTGTGCCTCGACCCAGACGTCTTGTCCGGCCGTCACTATGGCAACTGTATCAGCTGATGAACATCCACGGCCATCATCACCATATATCAATGGTGCTGAATAGTTATTCCCGTCAATCATTATATTAACAACAAAGTATTTTTTTATGTAAACACAGAAAGCTATACTGAACATGAACGTCCCATTGACGGATGCTGTAAACTTTCCGGTATCAGTGTTATATGCGCCTCCTTCTCTGAAGACTACTGTAGGAAACACGATGATCCGACCTCCCAACACTGCTGTATTTTCATTCAGCCTCGCTTTAAATGTAACTGTTGGTGTTACGGCCATATCTGGAAAAATAATAGAATACATTCACCGCATGCTGTAAATTCACAATGAAACCTTTATACCAATGATTTCTATCAAACGACTTTAAATATCTATTTAAGACAAAATATTTATATCAGATTAATTTAATTTTTCGAGTTTTTCATAATTTATGATGCTAGTATTCAGAGGAAAAAATAAAATGCCAATTTTTCTTTTGACATTATCTTACCAATATCTATCTTTACTATTTCAGCTCTTACACATATATTCAATGTTGTCATGGAATTCAATGTTAAGGAATTTTAAATGCATGTTAGAAAATCAATGGGGGACACATGGTTGAAAGTTTACCTTTGAAATTTTGTAGTTCAAGAAGCTTTGCCCTAACCTCCGATGTAACATTACCGACTTCTATCATACTGGTCTCGAAGCCATTTTCTAGCTCTTGTTGTTTTGTTTTCATTTGATCGCTAACTTCCGTCTTGATATTTTCAACTCTGTTAACACATTGCTCTACCTCAAGTTTCAGTCTCTCCATTTGAAACTCTATGCGTACCATTTTTTCCAGCACCTTTTCCTCAAAATCATATTTAGAACAGCGAGGTTCTTCACAATTCCTTCCATTTGTCAACAGAAATAGAAGAAACACTATTTTAGAGAGCGACATGTCTCACGAATAACAAACCTGTTGCTTTTGTTGTTTGCAAGTGAATGAATTAGACGACCTTCATTTTTGCCACGATGTATTCATTAACTTAAAATCATTTTACGGAATCCAATTCATGCCACCATGTTACAATCAATGTTGCCTACCTTCTGTGTTGTCTTAGAATAAGAAAAAACAATATAACAAAATTAAAGACTGGTGTTAAATTGTATATATAGTTTTCCGGACCTAAAAAAATGATATTGACCAAGGGAAAAAGTCCGAAGTTAGTATAACTTTTAAGGGGTCTGAAAAACTATGTATTGGCCTTAAGTCTATCATCTTTGGAATATCACGACTTAAAAAAACCCATCAGGTCAACTCTACACTTCTTTTTGCGGCTAATGACGTCATCGCAAATCAGTCAATCTTGAAACGGTGCTTTCATGAACGGTATTAGGTATATCGATAGTTGGCATCTTAACTTTGTGAAATTCTATAAATTCTATAATGTGTGTCAATGAGTGATCAAATGTCAAACAGTAAAATATTACATTTATTACTTACATTTTTAATACAACAAAAAAGATAAGAATTGTATAAATGTAAACGAGGAACTCGTAATAATATTGCAATGAAATATCTACTTGAAACAATTGGAGACGAAGCGACTAAGCTAATCTTAACAATTGATATCAAACTAAGTCTACGAAAAAACATATGAGCCGCGACACGACAATACCAACGTAATGCGTTTGCAACCTGCATGGATCCAGACCAGCCTGCGCATCCGCGCAGTCTGATCAGGATCCATGCTGTTCGCTTAAAAACCCTATTACAAGTAGAGAAACTGATAGCGATCAGCATGGATCCTGATCAGATTGCGCGGATGCGCAGGATGGTATGCATCCATGCTGGTCGCAAACGCATTACGTTGCTTTTTGTCGTGACGCGGCTCATATGAATATCAAGATATCAGTTTAAAATCAGAAGGCCATTATGCTGAATTATCGAATGTGCATATGCTGGATCAAGACAACTGCAAGGCAATGGATGCACATTTTGCAACATTTACATATTGTGTGAATAGGGCAAGTGAAAACTTAACATTATCAGTTTAAAAATTAATAGCAAAGACAATATTCCATACTTTGGGCGATACGAAATATGACGCTGAAAACTTATTTGTTCTCCTATACATATGTAAAATATTATATTAATATGATACACGGTCGTTGTATAATTATGTTAATCCTCTTTTATAGTTATGTTAATGTTTATTCCATCTTTTTTTTATTTTCTACACTGACTTTCTTTCGTTTTTTTTAACCAGCACACGACTGTGAAATATAAATTTCTAAAATGAATGAAGTATTAACTTCACGGTGATGATCATTAAGACATCAAATATAATTAAATACTTGTGAGTAGTTTCCCTACGCAGTCAAAGATGTCATACGAAAGATCACAGCAAAAATACATATGAGTCGTGTCACGACAAAACCAACATAGTGGGTTTGCGAGCAGCATGGATCCAGACCAGCCTGCGCATCCGCGCAGTCTGATCAGGATCCATGCTGTTCGCTTACCAACCCTATAACAAGTAGAGAAACTGATAGCGAACAGCATGGATCCTGATCAGACTGCGCGGATGCACAGGCTGGTCTGGATCTATGCTGATCGCAAACGCACTATGTTGGTTTTGTCGTGACGCGGCTCAATTATCTTGTGAATTCGCAAAATACACAATATGTAAGAACACCCGTAGTTTTTAGTTTTAAAGTAAAGATTCAATTACGGATCTAAAACGGAGAAAAATTTGTTGGAATACATTTGTGAAATTATAATGTCTTATGAATTTTAAAAAATATTATATTGCAAAATTTTGTCAATTTTTATGCTTACTAAATTAGAATAACATGTTTCGGTTATAATTTATTCTTTCCCCATTTCTATTTCATTTATCATAACATTAAGGTACATAAAGGCTTAAACTATATTGGAACTTGTTTTTTTTTATCTCTGCACGACTAAATTGATGCAAATTATTGGAGTGTATGCATCGTTTAGCTAAAGCTTAGTGGTTTTGACACTGGTCCCGTGTTCATAAACAAAAGATCATGATCAAATGATCCTGATTTTATTTCCATTGTTCTATAAAACTAAAATTGATCGTGTTTTTCCTAAAATTAAATGGTACATAGACAAATTGTTAACAAATAACTGATTTGCACAGAAACAGGCATTTTTCGGGATGATATCGACAAATAACAAAACAAATACAGAAATAATTGGATCAAAATAAGGTCAATTATAGGATCAGGATTAATATTTCGATCAACTGTAAAATGTCTTTTTAAATAACAATGTTTTTTTCTCTAAAATTGGCCAATTTCGAGTTTTACACTATTCATTGCGAGAAAACATGCTTTTTGTGTACATGCTATTATCATATTATACCACCAACAATGCTTTGGTTATCCCGCAAAACTAAGAGATTAGTAGGAACTTTTGGTCAGTATATCTTGAGATGTCAGACCTGACAGTAACTCTATTTTGTGCATATTTTCACACGGAGATAAAGAATTGCCACTTTATTAAAACATTTACGTACATTACTGTCTTACTAGAGAGATGTTGATGATAACGAATCGTAACTCTGCAATATTATATATGAATTTCTCTATTTATATCCATTTGAACCAAAGTAAAAGAACACGTGATGTTCTTATTAAAACGTTTCAGTTTTATGAGGAATAATTCTACCACAATGGTTTAAAATATTGAAGAAGACATTTATATTTGGGATATCAGAAAAGCAAACACCAACAAAAATATCAAAATAAATATTTTACATGAACAGTCTAAGGAACACTTTATTGAATGAATAGATATCCAATGGCCCCTATTACAGAGACCCCTACCTTACTTCAAACACAGTGATGTTAGCTTTTTTGTTTAGTATTACGTCGCATTAACACAATATAGGTATTATGGTGACGTTCCAGCTTTACTGGTTGAGTAAGACCTCATGTGTCTTTCCGAGCATTATGACATCTGAGAAGAACCATCGAGGTTCCGTAAACTTGCTGGATAACTCCCTCACATAACAGAAGTTAAGGTACCTGTCAAGATTCGAGCCTACAGCGGTAGGGGCAAGTGGTTTCACGTCAACGACTCGGCCACGAATGCCCCCAGAGACATTAGCTAGAATGGACTTAGAATATGGTTTGCATATACGAAAGAGAAAAGGCTGAGCAATAGAAATATTAATGAGAAAGTTTAGAAATATCTTATTCAAAAGAAGGTACGTAACATATTAATGAAGATGGTTACTGACTTGAAGGAAGACATTGTTTAAAAAACAAAGGAATGAAATAGACAAAAGTTGACACAAACGATTAAGCGATATACTTTCAAAGAAAAAAATGGATTTCAATTTATAAGTGTTATCTTAACATTATATCTGATATTGTTAAATATTACACATTTATTTCATCAAGTCCAACAACATCATTGACTCGTAAATTATTTTATTTTTAACGCGTTTTTACATTTAAAATTATAAATTTCTTAAAATAATCAATTTACATACGCCCGGATCGGAAACATGGAAAAATGGTTCTGGTTGCGATAAACACACATTTTAAATTACGGCCGAATAGCTTTCGGAACGTCGTTGCCTCGCTGGTTCAACCCCGGTGAAATAATTTATGGAGGGGTATATGAAGTCTTTTTCCACGACTAAATAGAAAGTCGACAAATCAAATATCCTTAATAGTGTCACTCAAACTGAGCCTGCAACATTTCTTTTCAATTTTGCCGTGCTGGGGCTTACTTTAGGGATTCTATTCTCTTTATTTTTTTACTTAACCCCAAATGAAACAAACAACCGAGTAAACGTTTAACGGGACAAAAGCTACTGCTATGTACTATTTGTATACCGCCTGCCTTCCTAGCAAAACAATCAAGAATCATTACTTCTGCCTAATGTTTTATATATTCTTCTACTGGTGTACCAAATGCCATTTTAGACAAGTAATTTTTGTCGTATTTTTATACTGCTACCTCAGTAGAACCACCGACCTATCGTATGCTAGCAAAATACCTTCCTCACATTAACAAAATTCTTAATCCTCGACAGGATTCAAAAAAAAAATATTTCAACAAAGAAACATTTATATATCAAAGTTTACTGATAAAACAAAAGTTACCTTGGTGTATTCTTTCCATTTCTTTATTAAATAAAAATACGAACTACAAAACATATGTCACCAAATTAGCACTACAACAGCGATTTATATATTACAATAATTTGAATATACCAAATGAATAAACCAAAGAAATTATTTTTAATAGCAACAAAAGGTAAAAGTACATGTATAGTTACAAGATAAACACCGCTGAGCCTAATTAATCAGTGCATGTCTCCAGATGAGCCAAAATATTTCAAGATAATCAATATTGAGAAAAATGTACAATCATTGTAAGAAAGGTAAAACATTCAAGATGCAAGTAAAATTGTGCATGTTATATGCGGTTTAAGACTGATTTTGCAGTATTTCATTACTATATTTCATCTGCGTTACTAACGCAGTAAGGGCTGATTGTGGCATATGTTGACCACTTTTTGGTAATTTTCTTGGATTGTGAGCGCTGATTGCTATATGTAAATTACATTATTTGTTCACCTCACAATATTTTACTTACAAATACATTTCTAATTTTTTATGAAATCTGACATGAATCTGGAGACGTGCTGCTTTAAAAAGTATTGCATCAATAACAATAAATTCTGCATAATATATGCACTATTAATTTTTTTTTCTGCATTAGATCTTACAATATAATAAATGCATGTACGCCCATACACATGTACATCAGAACACTTGGCTATTTAATAAACAATTGCCTGAAAGAAAGTTCACAAAGAATTAAATCCTCCTATTTATTAATGCCCCGGAGAATGTATTCCAACGGTATGAATCACTATGGTCTGTAATGGTACCAGTACTAGTACCGCCTGATATAACCTCGACCCATACCTCCTGTCCGGCGGTCACTATGGCAACTGTATCAGCAGATGAACATCCATGGCCATCATCACCATCGAACAATGACGTTGAATATCTTGTTCCTTCAACCATTATACTAACAGTCAATGACTTCTTTGAATAGACACAGAAAGCTAAACTGAACATGTACACCCCACTGATGGGTGCTGTAAATTTTCCGGTACCTGAGTTATACGCATCTCCTTCCTTGAAGATTAATACTGGAAACACTATGGTCTGACCTCCGACCACTGCAGTCCTGGACTTTAATCTTGCCTTAAATGCAACAGTTGGTGTTACAGTATCTAGAAATGAAAAACATAAAGAATTCACAAGCAAGTCATTATATTTTCAATGAAAACTATCTTTTGGTACAACACATAATGTTAATTCACAATGAATTTAAATGTTAGATCAAATATTTGTAACAAATTGAATTTAACGAAATAAGTTCATATTCATCGATTTCGAGTCCGTTAATATTAAGTTACATAAAATATAATGGGCAACTTCCTTAACCGTTAAAACTGTGAAAAATGAAAGGCTTAAGAAAAATGAAAATAAAGTATATATTTGTTTTGGGCTGTTTATGACTTATAATACATTTGAATTGTATTTTACACCGAAAACACATCATAAAATGTATGTAGATCAAAAATTTATTGACAATATGAAAGTTCCAAATTTTTTTTTCGTGAAAGTATGAATAATGAATAGACATGCACCAGTACAAGGGGTATAGTTATTAAGTACCAGTACTTATTAGTACCAGTACTAGATCTTGGTTAAGTACTGCAGTGCCAGTACTTTTATTCGGAATTATTTAGTGCCAATACCAGTACTTTCATATATTCACTGTATGTTGCACACTATTAAATGAAAAAAACATATAACTTTGGTGGCGCTTTTATATGTCGCAATGCCGCTAAATGTCGCACTGGTGCTAAATGTCGCACGATTGCCGCTAAGTGTCGCAAACTCTGCTACCGTTAAATGTCGCATGGTTTTTCCTTGCCGTTGAATGTCGCAAAACTACCGCTTAAAGTCGCATGATGCATTATGTTTTTTATAAAATTAAGTTAGCTAGTGGTATTATGTTACAATAGACATTGAGTAAATGTTCGTACATATTTAGTAACTTTATGGGACATAAAGAAATGTCCCGATTCATCTGCTCACTCAAGACGAAATATGCTTTTTAAATATCCTTTTTGTTTGAAATTTAAATGTAAAAGCGATTGATTAAGGTATAGTATGTAACTATGATAGGTGTTATGTGCATCTAATATTAATCTTTTGTAAATTGCTTTGCGTACATAGACAAGTTTATATCTATACAAATGCCCATCCACTTGCCCCTCACCGCTGTTGGTATTCTTTCATACAAGGAATATGCAACACCTAGTTTACGACAAGTCGCTGGTTGAAATAAGGCGAGGGGGCACCAGAGGTATTTCTTCACTAGCGAAGCTGGAAAGTCGCAATGTTACCTTACAGCGTTGGTGCAGAGTAAAATCCAACAAAGAAATGTATCAGACTGCTTACTTCGTATATCATACTGTGAGTACAGGCATTCTACAATCTGAATATCAACTTGATTATTTTTACAGGTGTCACAGGCACATTCAATATATTCGATGAGTTCTATCCCCAACAAAAATTAATAATTTACGGTACCTGTTCGATTGTGTGTGCGTGAGTGTTTAAATTCCACTATAACTAGCAATAAACATCTGGGATCACTTATTTTTGTAGGTCTTATCATTCTGTCACGGCTAGCCGTTAGAATTTCATACTGAAGAACGCAATAGAAAATAACCTAAAACTCCTTAACAATCCGATTGTTTTCCCTTGCTCGAACTCCAGCTTTCACCAAATGGCCCAAGCACTCAAAATGGTTTTCATGTCAGTAATTACAGATGTCTGTGATTTATGGAATTCAATGTTTTCAAATAGTGATAAAATATTTGAAAGGGATTTTCTATGTAACATACACTAGTCTACCTACATTTGACATAGATAAGTGACCTGTCATTTTACATAGCAGGCTAGTACAAATTCAGGCGATACCAAAGTCTAATAAATATACCATAAACATTTTCATCCTGTAAGACTCATTATATGCAATTTTTGGCATTAGTTTCAACGGCATCAAACTGTCAGAAATGGAATACATGATACAACTTCGCGAAATTTCTTTTCATGTGGATCACCATTAAATGCTCTCGTTTTGTTTTCCGTTCGGAAGGACCAGTTTGAAAATATGTCATATACTAATAGGATGGATTAAACGGAAGAATTTTACTTTTTCATCAATAATTATCAAAGAAAAAATGTTTAAGGTAGAACGCGACACTTTGCGAACTTTCGAGTAGTGTCTTGAAAATTGGCATGCAAAAAATGACCATATTTCTGATTGGATTTCGTTGATTTTATTTCAACAGTTTCAGCCAATTTTTGTACACATGACGTCAAAGTTGACTATCAAAGCCCGTTTTTTAACATGACGTCGTTGCGTATCCTTGGCAACTGTTACGGGTATTACAACGCCATAGGCGGACAAAATATCTTAAATCCTACAGCATTCGTTGGAAATTATTTTTTCCTTTAAGCAGACATAAAATTTATTGTTTTACGCCGAAAATTGTTTGAGAAATGGAAAGAAAATTGTCAATTTTGTGTAAAATTTGACGTTCAGTTTAGCCGCAATTTTCGGCTTTAAAGCGGCTTATTTAAAAATTCCTGAAATAAATTTTTGATTTTTTTCTTTAAACGTCCTTTAAAATGTATACTTAGTCAAAATAACTAAAAAAATTAGGGGGTCACCGACTCAATTTTTTCGGTACACGTGATTTTATTTCCCCCACCCCTTTGGATAAAAGTCACGCTATCACGGGGCGTTTGGTTTTTTGATGTTATTAAAACGATCGCCCTGTGTCAAAATCCCGCTTTTTACGGCATTTTACGCTATTATGACCACTGCGGAAAATATATGGATACAATAAAGGGTACGGAATTCCGTATATTATAGATAGACAGGTAAAAATAAGTGAAATTTGATGTACGGGACCGTATATCATGCAATACGTATATGACTAATATACCGTGATCCGTACACTCGTAATATGCGGGAACTTTGAATGAAGTTCGTATTTACTAAAATACGTATTTTTTTAAATTACACGATCAGATATTACCAAAATATGTTTTTTTTATTCTTGTAAATACAGATTTTGTATATAAAACAGTGAATAAAGATGTACTTCAGAATTACCCACTTTCTACAAGAGGAAAGAAATAATAGTCTGATCTGACATTTGTCAGAATAACATTAAATAGTAAAACTTTGAGTAAAATGTAATATTTCTCGGTTTTATTAACATGTCAGTTGCATACTGATTAAATAGTTAGTGAAACATCGACAGATCCTCTACAGTGCCCGTAGCATGTACAGACAAAAAAATGACAATATATATTGAATATCTTTATTTTGTATAAAGATTTACAACGCAACACTCCTTTGTGCAGTATCTAGCTCAGGGCCGCCGGTTCGCTAAAATCCGCAGACGTGTATTTACAGCGTTTCATTATATTTCATGTTTAAAATAATGTTTCTAAATTTTCCTGTTCCTAAAATAAATTCTACCATAAATTTGGCTATACAGTGAATAATGAATATTTGCAAAGGCCGATTTGTTAGTAATGTTTTTAATACAGCGTTTATGGTGAATCCTCAATTAATCGTTATTTTTAACATTATGATATTCTAAAATGATAAGCAAAACGAGAGAATATGTATTACAGATACTTGTAGAATCGAAAGTGCTACATCTGTAATCCAACACCCACTGAGCTAACGTTTCAAGCATGACTGTTTGCTTCACGCTAATATAATTGACTAAGTTTCATTTATGAACCGTATATTTTAATTTGTCAGTATTTCGCCAATTCTGTCAAATTGTTGCAATAGTTTTTTATTACAAGTGAAATTCAAATTCTGGGTTTTAATAGGTGAAATAAAATACATATCACTCACAGTATATCACTCATAGTGTGGGTAATGCAAAATGTATAGATTTGCAGAATTTCTTGTAGACTACGTATTAATTTATGATTGAATTTCCGTAAATTTCTAAATTTACATAAAAATATATACATTTTGTAGTTGCTTTTTGTTCCTTAAGGCATATTTCTCGATTCAAGTTTATTAATCTAATCTTATTGTATTACAATATCAAAAAGGAACACCGCAAATGATTACTCTCAGCTGTATTTATTTTTGTTTGCGCAGCGTACGCGTTGCCGTTGAACGCCTGGCGTCATTTTCTTTACATGCGTCTGTTTACAATTCCTTATGAAGTTATTAACATGCTTAAAAACAAGAAAAAAAAATCGTTTTTTTTTTCCGTACAATTTTAAGAATTTGCAATGGAACAATGTTGTTGTTGGTTTATATGTATTAGTAAAACTCTAGAACTATTCTCCTGATAAGCTGAACATTATTGCCGCACTTTGAAGTCTCAGACGTATCTGCATACGTAAGACTTTCGTTACAAAATTACTCACGGGGTTGGTGAAATAAAATCACGTGTACCTAAAAAAAATGAGTCGGTGACCTCCTAATGTTTTTAGTTATTTTGACTAAGTATACATTTTAAAGGACGTTTAAAGAAAAAAAAATCAAAAATTTATTAATAAGCCGCTTAAAAGCCGAAAATTTCGGCTTAACAGAACGTCAAATTTTACACAAAATTGACAATTTTTTTCCATTACTCAAACAATTTTTGGCGTAAAACAATAAGTTTTATATCTGCTTCAAAGAAAAAATAAATTCCGTCGAATGCTTTAGAATTTAAGATATTTTGTCCGCCAATGGCGTTGAAATACCCGTAACAGTTGCCAAGGATACGCAACGACGTTATGTTCAAAAACGGGCTTTGATGGTCAACTTTGACGTCATGTGTACAAAAATTGGCTGGAACTATTGAAATAAAATCAACGGAACCTAATAAGAAATATGGTCAATTTTTTGCATGCCAATTTTCAAGACGCTACTCGAAAGTTCGCAAAGTGTCGCGTTCTACCTTAACTCAAACGAAAACGAAAAGTGTAAAATTTTGAAGAATTGAATCAATAAAAATAAATAAATAAATAAATAAATAAAGAAAAAAATAAAGAAAAAAAAAGAAAAAAAAAAGAAAAAAGGAAACTAAAAAAATGTACAATGTGTCTGAGTCCTTATAAACTTGAATCTACAAACCAAGTGAATCTTGAAAGGATACAATCTAAGACGGGTTCACTCATGTATACAAAAAGAGGGTTGACAATAAAAGAGGAGTGACACTAACCATTTAACCACGGGGTCCATAATTTTGAGCAATGAGATATTAAATGTGTTGAAACACATATTATCTCATTGCCAAATACCTAAATTGTGGGTGTGAGTGTGTATGGAGAGGGGGGGGGGGGAAGCGTCGGTGGTTTACAGAACGTCGGTGGTTTTACCCAGGTGCCTATTCGTGCCTGAAATAATGCGCGTACACTTGAGGTCGCCTCAAGTCGCCAAATGACCTATTTTGTGTCGGTGTGTCGTAACGCCCAATCAAACATAACCAAAGCAAAATAGAGAAAACCAGAATCCCTTAAGAAAGGCTAACACTGCAAAATGGACAATGTTGATAGAGCCTGTTCATGAACGGCACTGGAAAGTGCAAATTACCGGATTTGTTCATACCGTATGTGTTCATACGGCGATTATCATGGAACCCTCAATGTGACACAGTAGTGCCATATGACATTTATCAAAATCATTTATAGTGACTGCAATTAAAATCCGATGGAAATTTCAAAACGAGGTAATTACATAATCATACGTGCATGTACATGTGTAATTAAATTAATAAGAACTAACATAAATTTCAGTCTTTCAAATCTATGTAACTAATGTAAACGATATGTCTTGCAATACGATTATATAAAATACTTCAATGTATAATAATTAAGGCAAAGCGGAAATTTTCTTCCTAATGTAGATTATTTTAAGCAAGACTTTTGTCATTGAACTGGAACGTTAATCCGTGCTAAATCCACGGAAAATGCGACTCCTCACTTGAATACTGTTTGTGTGACAAATGACTGGTCTCTTAACGCGCAACAATGTCCTATTACATCGCTTGTTGCCATTAAATAAAACATGAACTTAAGTAACTAGAAACAAATCATATTAAATTTGACATGTAAGTATCATCTTGTGTAATCACCAGACCGTCAGGTTAGACCAATAAGTAAAGTGTCTGTCGTACTTGTGGTCAAGGTGGAGAAGTTCAAAAGCATAAACTGGGAATGAAGATACTTTTTACTGGCAATGAAAAAAAATAAATAAAAAAGCAAAAAAACGAATAAGGTTTGTTTGCATCAATGAAATTTATAAAACTGTAATCCAATTGTGACAATATAATAATACCTATAAAATAATTCTTATAATACCTTTAAATCCGAAAGCATACATGCTTGTATGTGGGAGGCCGACACACAGTATAAAATACTGATCTATAATTAAAAACTAAGTCTATTTTTTAAGATAATCTTTTAGGCGTGTTAGATCCATCTCAAGCTGATGCTGTGGCTTTAACCAACAACATCTGGGTTGCTAAATGGGGAAAAACAAATGAGTTTTATCACTAAGAGGCCCTTAATATTGACATAAAACATTTGTTTAAATTGCGATGTTAAACGGTGGTGTTGTGACATTTAACGGTAAGGGAAAATCGTGCAACATTAAACGGCCGTGTTGCGACATTAATTTTATGATACAAGATTTTGCGACATTTACGGCGTCAACGACATTTAGTGGCAATGGTACGACATTTTGCGGCAAATGCGACATTTATCGACGTTAAAACATTTATGACACATTCACACCTTCATTTAATTGCAAATACTTTATTATTCTTTGACATCTGTTTGCATTTATCAGATACACTTACAATCTGTGACTATAGCGAAAGTAAATTCAATTCAATACTAATCCACATGATAATTTCTCTAAAGCTTCATTTTCATGTAGTACAATTTCATATATTAATTTCTTTACCATGGTTGTCTTAAATGAAACGAAAGATTTAAAACAAATTATTAAAATAATATATGAGATTAAAGTTATCTCTTTACATATATTTCTGAAAACCAATGAACTGCCTTGGTACTGCAGTACAAGTTCCGCATTTTGTATACTGTAGTGCAGTACCATTACTAGTAGTAGCAAAATATGGTGTGAGTAATTTTCAGTACCCCCAGTACTTACAAAAAAGACTGCATCGCGTACTGTACTACCAGTACCGCACGTCTAATACAGGTTGTTTAATGTTTTAATACTTAATATTATATTTTACATGATCATTTATATAAATATCAGCGGACGTTCAAAGATAAAAGTAAATCAGTATGTTCTGTTAAAATGCAGTAAATATAAAAAAGCCGCAATGCTTCGGACCTCATAGCATTGTAGTAACCCTAAGTCAACTCCAGACCTTAAACATACTTTAGCCTTTTTTGGGCACCAAGCCTTAGCCTATGGCGACTTTTCAGCTTTACTGATGGAGGAAGATCTTACGTTAATTTTTCCTGGCACGCACGGACCCTTCAATGCTACGAGGACCATAGTGCTAGGTAATAGTCATAAAGTTAGTCATTACTTTACTCCAGATTTGATTTTTTTAACTACTGTTAAATGCATTCTTATTTGTATCATCTGTAATACACATCTTCAATAATTCAACGAAAATAAAAACAACTCAAAGATTATGTCTTACATGCATCGTAGAAAAACAGTAAATGTGACGTTATTTTACCTTGAAGTTCAAGAAGCTTTGCCTTAACTGCCGATGTGACATTACTGACGACTTCTTTCATACTGGTCTCGAAGCCATTTTCAAGTTCTTGTTGATTTGCTTTCATCTGATCACTAACTTCCGTCTTGATATTTTCAACTCTGTTAACACATTGCTCTACCTCAAATTTCAGTCTCTCCATTTGAAACTCTATGCGTACCATTTTTTCCAGCACCTTTTCCTCAAAATCATATTTAGAACAGCGAGGTTCTTCACAATTTCTTCCATTTGTCAAAAGAAATAGAAGAAACACTATTTTAGAGAGCGACATGTTTCACGAATGACTTTTCTGTTTGCGTTTCTTGAAAAAATAGCATTACTTCTAAGAGCTATTCGTTTGTTTCATTATACACAAAATCCTAATCATGCTATTATGCTATACAGACGTATGCCAACATTTTTACACGTTACTTGTCTTTTCAATTACACTTTAATGGTTTTCTCTGTCACAATATTTACAAACACAGTGTTTTGCAGGAAGTTTTGGCAGACGTCTTCAAAAACATAACTTCAGTTTCCATTATTGTTTACTTTGGCAGAAGTTCCATGGAAGATATTTTGGTACATCAAAGCATTTTATTAGATGCTATGTACTGTTTGCGACGATAACTTCAACTGCAGGTCTCTATCCTTTTCATACCATCAAACAATCATACATACCGTTTAATTTCTGTCGGCAGAAGGTTGGGCCATTTCCAAATGAGTCTTTGGATATAACTTTCAATTAAAATATCAAATATTTCCAAAATGTCGGCTTTTCTGTATTATTTTTTTTTCTGTAAGTAGGAAGAGACATTATTTTTAATATTCAGTTTGTGTTTCATGCGCAGTGCAATGACCCATGCGTTTTCTGCTATGTGAAACTGCTTTTAAAACACAGTAAGTCTTATTATACATGAATTTAAATGCCTTTATCACCAGTTTATACCTTTGAATTGTATAAGATTCTTCTTCATTGCCCATCTGACCACATACATGATTATAAAACATAAACTTATATACCATATATTTGCAAAGATATCAAAAACTCTTGCTGATCATCAAATGAAATGATCAGTTGTTAATCGATATAGATATTGATAATCCATCAGCTATGTCTGTAGGGTTTACTTTTGCCGAGAGACATATATATATTATATATATATATAATGTTTTTGTATATAGGACATTTTGAAAATAAATAAGACTGGTGATGGTATTTTCCATAATGTTAAAAAGTTCTGAAATTACTGTGTAAATTATTTAGATTTCCTAAATAAAGTGTCTTTTTGCTTTAAAGGTATGGCATTAATTTTAGAAAAAAGTTGACCCACTTCCGAATAATAAGAAAAATAAATATTTGCTTAAGAATAATCATGAAACATTCACTGTCTTGGTTATATTGTCATGAAAGTTGCTTTAAATCTATGGTTATAACCGAATTGGTTTCATTACAAGGAACGTCTTTGTTCTTTTATCCTTATTATTAATAATGTGTAATATTGTTCTATGGTCTATTTTTGACCACTATCAAGTAATCTGTGTTTACTGTAAAACAGGTCTTGTATGCACTAATCACATTTCTTCTATTTACCAGCACTATTAAAAAAATAAACTTTTCTTACTCTGTTTTTCTTGTTTTATATTAGATATACTAATATCGAAGCAAAATCCGTCGGTATACGATCATACGCTTTTTTTTGGTAACAGTAACTCTTTAAAATTAAAAAGAGAAATAGCAATCAAAAGAGGAAACTTATTGGTTTGTGTATTTCGTGCTATACGTTGCTGTTGTAAGACATTTAGGTTTTTTGTTTAATTCTACCAAATGACACATTTATGTATTCAAAATTTTTGATGAAACAAAATATTCTCTCTTTATACAATAAATAGTTCAGGAAACTCATATCAGACAATCTGCAGCTTGTGTTCCGAAAGCCGTACAAACTCAAGTGACATTCCGGGGTGAATATTCATGCTCAGTCCGTACAGACTTGTACTTGTGGGCTATAAGGTTGATTATTGGGTGCAAATATGTTGCTTATGAGGTTTAGATATCAAACAAGATCAAAGAAAAAACCCCAAAATGTCAACTCAGAAAGAAGGTTCGGTGAGCCAGGACAGAGGCAGATGCAGAATATTAAAGTTTTTGATGATTTCTTTTTAATTTTTGACGGGCATATTAAGATACATAAAGTTATTGACAGGACATCTCAGGAGAGAGATCAAAATTTTTATTTTTCAAATGTAAAAAAAAGAAATAAGATTTTCATAGCAGTAAAGTAATTAACCATTTCATATTAAGATATATTTCATATAGCATGTCCACGTGATGTTAAAACAATAAATGAAGAAAATGAATTTAAAAACATTGTCACAGAACTGGATCTTCTGTAAATAGCTGTAATACCTTCTTCCATAATATTTTGCAGGTTCGTTTGCTTATGTCGACTTTGTTATCAGTCTACAATATATTATCTAATCTGTAATATGAAAATTAAATTTTTTACAAACCTAACCATCACGGATTGCATTGATTTTTAATTTATAATTGTAAAAACTAATTAAGGTGTTCAGTTGCCAAGGAACATACTTGTCAGGGAAGGAATGTGCCAGAATAAAGGTTCCTGAATATGGCCAAAGTCTGGTCACGTGTATGAGAAAAATGTTTTAAGCTATGACCACGTGACAGATTATTCTACGTACCAGCGACGGAAGTTTTATTACCACTAGCATCATTTATAAGTGTTCTCCTGTGAACGTTACCTTTGCCTTGTTGATTACTGTTCTCATTTTTTTGTATTCCGCACCGTAGTTACATAAATGGTTTTCCAGGTAAACTATATCTTTTATTCGATTTTGTTTTAAGACCGACATCTACCAATAAACGTAAATATTATCAGTTTCTTACATATAAATTATTATCTACATGAATATCGACTACATGTGCTCTTCTTTTTCCACATATTTAGCTATTGCCCTGTAATGTATACCTTAAATAGTATAAATGTGAAAAGGGAATATTTTAAGAATTCAAAGGTAAAATATGAAAACAAAGGTCAACAAGAATAGGTGGCGTTTAAATTAACTGCGTCTATGAATGAATAATTATCTGTAATATTTTCAGTTGGCAACAACTTTACCAAATATTTTAACGATGCGTAAAGCATCAAAAAATAATTCATAACGTTATTAGCAGATTCTCTATCCCGTTATGTACACATTGTTAAGCAATGGTGTAAGTTGTTGCAGTATTTTTTACTGTTACTTTATTGTAGCATTAAATGATTGTAATGAAGGATTATTATATGCTTGAAATAGAATACAAAGAAATAAATGATACTGACAATGCTTGTTAGTGTCTTGCATGATGAAAGTATTTTATTCTTATATGCCGATCTTATTCAAGCATTTTTATCAACCTATATCTTTTTGTAAATCAAAGTATGTATAAATCTATAGAACTGTAATTATAGAAATGAGCTATGTCAATTAGCTGTTTATTATAAAAAGGCTATGAAAATTAGAACTTAGATATTAAATAATTTTCAATGATAAAACAACATATTGAATTTATCTTATTTTTTAAATTTGTTTATCCTCATTTAACTTAAGCTTAAACTACCAACTTATGTTTAATAGCCTGCATTATTATTTAACTGTTATATTGGCTGATTGCCCTGATATGTACCTGTTACTCAACAATTATGCTGTAAATGACGATGCAATATGTATAAATCAAACAAACAAAACGTTCTGTTAAACCAAACATGTTACTTTTATAAATACTTTGTCTTTCAGTTTGAACAATAACACATTTCTATTGACCGATGTGAAATCCTTATAACTGGCGGTTACATAAAGTTTGGCAGTAAAACTACATGTTTGGAACAGTTATATCTACTATATTCAGCTACAAACATCTTTCCTGGTTCGGCGCCGTATCACCTAAGTTGTGTTCGTGTTCCTTTAACCAAACAGCAAACAAAACATTGACTGATCGTTCTCTTTATAAATTATAGTCATTATCATTTACCTTCATTTGTAATAAAGTTATTTTTGTATCCAAGTAATTTTAATAATTAAAATGGCAACGTTTTGTTAATTTCAAATACACGATTTTATTTAATCCGTATGTTTAAATGATATTGGTTGTTACGTGTTACTTTCTTATAAAAACATAGATGTTGTTTTTAAATAATGTATTAGTGTGTAGCTTGTTCAAAAATAAATTAGATGACAAAATGTTAAAAATAGTTATGACAAAATGTTAAAAATAGTTATTACTGACATACATGTAGAAAACGAATCTTTAGATTGTTTTCATTGTACTGTCAATCCGTCCCAGCTGTTAACATCTTATAAAGGTAGTAGAGCAGATTTCTTGTTCCTGGTTTCTGAAATATGATCATGTATTTTTTAAATGAATAAATCAGGTATTTCTTTTGATCAACAGGACATACAGTTTTATGTTAAAAACAAAATCCAATTATTTTGATCAAAAGACATACAAAATATAACATGTCTTTGGAAAATAAGATTAAAATTAAATAAATTGCTCTCTCTATTTTCAACTTTTAAAGTACTAAATACCATTATGATGTGGTTATGCTATTGTGTCATGTTAAGAACGTAATGAACGTTCAAACGCATTTTTGGCTCAACTATTTCTCGAAGAAAATAATAATAGAGGCATTCTAACAGTCATTGTGCCGTTACTGTTACCGTCCGAAAACTTTAACCTTAATCATAACTTTTTAAGTTCTTGGTTTATTGGTGTATTGTCTTCATACTTGGCATCAAAAACACTGGGGACAAGACCTTCATGTAAATCAAATTAAACATGACCATTATTCATAGATGACCTTGTCGTTTAAGGTCAAATGTCTACATTTTGCTTGTCTTTTGCCATTTCTGGCTAAAACTTTGTTATTTTTTATTGAATTGTCTTCAAACATGAATACAACATTTTTACATTAACGAGACAGACTTTGGCCCTCAGTCATAAATGACCTCGTCCTTGAATGTAGAAATCGTCCTCCTTTTTTGCTGTCACTTTGTAATTAATGAATGGATGGACTTCATTTTAAACCATAACATTGTCTATGATAAGACCTTCATATATATCAACGATATTTTAACTCAAAGTGACCTGGGTTCACTTATGACCTAGACCTTGATGGT